GGCCCTATTCAAAACTACAGGGGTTTTTCGTAATCTGCGTGGCGCCCGACTAAAATCAAAACTATGGGCGAATTCACCCATCGGTATAAAGAATTTACGCACAGTTCAAGAATTCCAGCCATAAAATTCTATGACGCCATTTTTCGATTGTAAAACCCCCCTCCGTTTACTTGATCTGGCCCATCCTGCGAAAAGAAGAGATGGCAGTACTGAAGAGCAAAAAGGTGAGCGTATTTGGAAGAACATGTAAACAAATACAGGAAATATAAGTGCGTTGCGCGTAATGCGCACTGAACGCTCTGCCATCCACCGTTCCGCCCAAAATCACGTGGTCCCAAGCTTCCCTTTTGCGTGGCTTAAGGCATGAAGTTTGTTTAGTCGTAGATTTGAACTATTCGCCATAGCCAGTTGTTACTCCGTAGTGAAATTATATCTCTTGCTTTAATTTCTACTCTTTAAGTTCCAAAAACTGTGAAAGATTACCTCGTGTTCAATTTGATACAAAAGCCGACTCGTGAATAAGGTGTATTATTGGTTGCTTCACCATTTTTGACCTTGACGACAAGCGACCCCAGTGGTCGCATGGGGGACACCGGAAACTGGAATCATAAAAATCAATATAGGGGGCCTTTATAGTACAGTAACGAACACTGTAACTGCTGGACAGCTGCTTTCGACTTTCCCGCTCAGTTCATATTCAAGTTATTCCCACAGGTTCCTCGTTAGCAACTGTGCTTCAGACAAGGACAAAAGAATGCTTGGTGGTCTTCGTTTTGCTTACTCAGTCGATGAAGTGCACCTAAAATTATGTTCAATATTATTTTGAAATGTAAATAAAAAAAACGCTTCACACACAGTGACCTATATAACATCGAACTGTAGAACAATTTATAAGACCTGGCGTTTTGATCCAAGGGAAATCTTTCTCAAAGGAAAAATTTTATTTTATTTGAATCTCAACAAGGTGGAAATCAGCCTAACGCGATTTCTCATTTTCTGTTGGTTTGTTTCTAAAGTCCTGCTTAGGCCTAGTCTCTTAGCAAGAAGGGAAAAAGATACCAAAGGCACGATGTAGATAGATTGGAAAACACATTATAAAATCTCCCAGGATACGACCCAATTCCCCACCCCTATGTTGTCAGCAGGTGTGTCTGTCCCTTAAATTCTTACAGGAAATTGGCGATATTAATAGCATCCGGGCAATCCTCGCGAGCCAGAAGAGAGAAGCCGTATCGCCGGTACACCCCATGCCAGACCGCCAGATAAATCATGTTTTGCATGCAGTGAGTTTAATTTATTGTTGCACAATATTCCATATTGTGACCTCTTTTAATAAAGTTCTGCATGTGAGCGCCCGGGGAGCAGGCGTGCAATACGCGCGGAAGGGGTCGGCGCTGTGTCTCTGGATGGGAGGTCCACCATCTTAAACAGACATGCGTGCCATCTACATGTCCATGCGGGTGTCCCGAGAATAGCATTTTTTTACCTCATGCATGTGGGCTTGAGTACTGTAATCAATTCCTGCCCCTACATTCGCCTAACGTGCATCCGGGTACGTGCATTACATTATTCACTTTTGTGTCATCCAAGGTTTTTTTATGCTTAAAACAATGACGGTTCTGTCTCCGGTTTCGTTTAACGTTAGTTCATTCTCACGAGGTCAATTGTTTGCCGGGAAGGATCCCACTTCATGACAATGTGCCTGAAGTCATGCTGCTACGATCTTTTTTACGAATTGTTGGTGAAATTCTTTCTCGAGAGACATTCTACATGTAATGGGGTTACAAAGACGAAAATGGCGCTATATAGGGGGGAAAAAACTCTTGCCGCTCTTTTTGAGGGCCGTTTCCTCACTCAAGGAAAACATGTTATGTGCGTCTGAGTTGCATGCCTGTGAGCTGGGTTTTGATCCATGGAAGAAAGAAAATCGAAATGATATCTTACATTCTGACAATGATTCCAGCTTCTGCCGTTGCCCTTTTGGCTGTTGGTAAGACTCTGTCTTAAAGACTCTGTCTTATCACGTGACCCTAGCTGCGGATGTTAAATGAATTGTTGATCTCATCACGGCTGACGCTATTCAATGGATCACCAACGGTGTTGTGACACGGCTATCGTATGCCGATTTATTATTTGAAAAATTCATAAGCCTGCGAAATTTCTTGCAAATTTAAGTGATTTCATATGAAATCCATATAGCTTACCTGTAGAGGGAACCAGCTTGAATGAGTATTTAACTTTTGCCTGGAAAACATTGTAGTACACTGTGTAAACCACCATTGAAGCAAATTGAGACATTAAGGAGTGATTGAAAATAGCTAACAGGGAAGAACAGATACATATTTAAGTTCCACGTTATAGGAAATGCAGAGTTAAATCTACAGACTGCATTTTCTCCATTGTGCAGTATTTCATCATAATCAGTTAGCGAAATTATGCACAGTGGTACCATCATGTAAAAAGGGCTTTAAAAAACTTCTTTCTCAAACACAGGCTTAAGACAAAATCATGCAAGCAGTCGTGGCAGTCTCAGGCTCCAGGAAATTACGTTTTCCATGGGTCAAGTAAATTGGACGGGTAGATCCGCACAGATTAGGGCCTACTTGATAGTTTTATATATTGTATACTATAGATAAGAGGCCTGCATCAAATCTCGCAGGTGGAGTCACAGAAAATGGTCATGGGTGAGTGACGGTGTTTCAGCACCCGGCAATAAACGTCGGGCCGGACGTGCTTGTACCGGTACCGTGTACCGCCCAAGCAGCTCTCACGCTGGACGGGCATTGGCCAGCACGCCGAGCCTGGTTGTCGGATGGGTGACCCTGGGTTGAAGTTGCCCGCACGTGGCGAACTATACTGGACACGGCTAAGAGATTGCCTCTCGCAATCGTCAACGCACGAATACAAGCTGTCCCAGGCCCTCAAGGTCGTTTTGCAATATTGCTGTTATACCCCCCCTTCCATTTTTGTGAAACTCGCCTTTAGATAGAACAAAAAGAAATCCTGCCCGGATGGGTCAGAGGTCAATGTTTGTAAACAACGAGATAGCAAAACTGTCAGCGGTAAGAACTTTACCGTTACACAGATAATTATACAGGATGTTCTGTGCGTTCAGAATAAGGAAAATCTCCGTAAGGAACCAGTCTTCTTGTATAGATTCGTCACAATTTTAGATATTTCTCTACACTGTCCTACATTTCCATATGTGGGTTTAATGAACGACTATCAGCGATTGGTCTAATATTTATCATCTGCCTTTTGGGTAGTTTATTATTTTCTCAATTAAAGCACTGCAGTCTTTAAGTGTCAGCGTGTAGTGTCTTTTACAAGCGACCATCAATGTTTGCCGACGGAGTACAACACCGATGATGGAGTCAATGGTCGACAGTAGAATTATCTAAAACTAAGCCCATTTCACGAATTCCCAGCAAACTCGCAACGGATGAAAAATTAACTTGTGCTGGAGAAGCATCATGAAGGGACAAGCGTCCCTGCGAATTGATCTTAAACAACAAAAACGTTGAAAAGTGGTCTGGACCTGCTTCATTTCTCATGAAAACTCGTGCGAGACCTTCACGTTTGAGCAAGAAACATGCAGTGCTTGGAAAAGACACCAGAGTCTTTGCCTCGGGGGAACTTGGAAGGCAGCACCCGCGCAACCTAATCGGCCCACACAACAAAACCGAAACTTGTCGCGTTACACCAATGATGTAATTATATAATGGCATATATCACAGGCCTTCTCCGTTTCGAAATAATTGGGCCAAATTAGAACCCAAACAAACACGGCACGCACCACGGCCGTCGGTGAGTAATTTCCATGTGGGCACGCGTCCCGAGAACCGCAGAGCCTGCCGGCCGACAGCTAACAACACCAGGCACTCTCTATACCCCGTCGATGTCCTGCGTTGTTCTTTCTGCTCCGACTCGCCACGTTGTGCCCTTAAATTTTTACACCGTCGTTACGACGCTGTGAAAACAATAAAAGGTATCTTAGCCGATTAATGGGAGAAGTGCTTGGCCGGCTGTGTCCAAAAACACACAGATGTAACTGCATTACCGGTGTTGTATCAGCTGCTATGCAGTGACGGGGCAGGGCCATATCGGTCCCGGACGTTTGGCTGCGCACCTGTGCCGTGATGCCTGACTGGTGGCGGTTAATACTCCCGTCAGACTTTCACGGCGTCACACTGATGAATCTTCAGCCGATTTTTTCCCTTGGAAGAAATCTTTTGGGACTGGGTCTAAAAATTTTATTCACAAATTGAAATTCTTGAGATGAATGTTGGCGAATTCCCAACTAAGTAACTATGGGGGCGACTATAACAGGTTCATTTATATCTTGGGTTGTCTTGTTTCACTCGTAGAACGCTGCAAAGTGGTGTTAGATTGGTGTTAATTTAACACCTGATGGGTGTTATCAGAGGACTACACCCAGGTCACTGTAATCCTGTGACAATACCGAGGAATAACGCCACAGTGTTTGCAGGGAAGGCTTGCTAGAAAGCAGCAACCATTTTTAATCTGTATTAAAGCAAAACTCCACGACCTGCTTGAAACTTTGAATACAAGGAGCTCTAGAAATGACAAGAACCAAAAATTAAAAACGTGCACACGGATTTTAAAACGCGCGAAGTTTCGCCCCACAGTTTCTGCGGTGCCTGTGTGAACACTGTACGTGTACATGCATACATGGAAATATGACAGTAACATCTGTCTTTTGGGTCAAAGATTAGTTTTGCCAAAAGGGCTGGACAATTCTTGCAATTGAGTCAATGGTTGGAAGCTGGACAAACGAGAACAACAAAACTTCCCCTTAAACTGATTTTCAAAGCATAAAAATTACGGTATACACTTAAGTATTACAATGTGTAACGGAGATGCTCGTGCACGCTGAATGATTATTTAGAAAAAACAGCATGGGTAGAACAGCTTTTTCTGCCGGTGTTGGACGGTGTTTTTCAGCGACTAAAATTCGTTTCGTTTGGCATTTGCTTCAGGCAATAACGGCGACCAGTGCTACAAGCTCGACCTCAACTCGAAGCCACGGAAGGAGCGGACGGCGTTCACCAAAGACCAAATACGAGAGCTGGAGAACGAGTTTAGCCACCACAACTACCTGACGCGCCTGCGCAGATACGAGATAGCAGTCACGCTCAACTTGACAGAAAGACAGGTAAAAAAGGCCTTTTGTGTGATTGCCCCCCATAAACATAGATCTGTCACTTCTGTTGAGGTGACATATTTCACCAAAATACCCAAAACAATTGCATCAAGTCGTTATTCAAAAGAAAAAATTCCGAAATTTCAAGCAACAGTCAGTCACTTCTTGTGTTTGATGTGAAAAGGAAAGGGACAAAACATCCGAGGGGTAGGATATCGTGACACACAGAACCCAGAGGCGTATCCAGCGGGGGGGGGGCAACTGTCTTTTTTCACATAGATTACCTCATAGGTAAGAATGGAATCAGTATTTTAATTCATCAAACATTAGCACCAAAAGCTTAAGACAGCAACATCATGAAATAAAAGCAAGGATGCTGGGGCCGCGAGCAAAGCCTTTGGTATTTTTTTGTCTCCCAACATCATGTTGAATGGGCCCCAAGCTGCATCGCTTTTGAATCCCCTCCCCAACACAAAAAGCTGGACATGCCGCTGGACAAATCTCCTTTCACACCGGAAATTATTTTTCACATATTTCTGAATATACAGTTCGCCAACATTTGTGGAATTTTCATGAAATTTATTTCAAATAACATCACAAATAAATATTGCATTATGGAAGTAGGCCTATCCACCGATTTTTTTTTCTGGAAATTTTAGACTTTGTCCCTAGTAGATATATAAGCAACACCAGATTTAAGGCCACTTAAAAATGCTGGCATACCATTAAAAGTGGCAGTGAATGAGGCAATCAACGATTTAATTAATCTTGTGACCTATAACGTGTTTAAAAAGTTGATACACATAATAAAATACATTTCACACGTACAATGATTGTACATTCGAATTTCCTATGCAGGCATATGATAATTAATATGTGGTTAGTATGGTTTCTTGGTACAACCAAGACTTCTTCCGGTGCGCCACCGGTTCAAATTTCCGCTGGTACATCGTTGTACATGGTGGGCTCGTTTATTTCACACGGATCCAGATCTCGATCAGTGATCCTAACGCTGGTTCGCACCATCCACTGTGCGGGTTTTAGTGTCCGTAAACCAACGACGGATCGCCGATCGTGATCCATATCCGTGTGAAACAAATGCGGCCGATGTAATCACTAATCAATCGACCCTAAAAGTAAAAGGTCACACTGTGAGCTTCTGCCAACCTCAGACGGCCCGTCTGTGCGGGTTTTACATGGGGCCGTCCTGTCATGTTCTGTAATTTTTGGAAAAATGGTTTCTTACTTAATCGCCCCAAGAAACACTCAAATTGGAATCTTATCTTTTTGTTTTTCAGCTAACATTTTTAACAGTTACCGCAGATGGGTAGAAAAAACAAACAAACAAACAAACAAACGAACGAATGAACGAATTCCATTTATAACGACATTTCGCTTCCGGCATTATCCTTCCCAGCTGTTCTCGTTCATGCAAGTTTGTTTTCACTTCATTTGCTTACGTTGGATCGAGAATGCATAACTTTCCCGCAAATTCACTTAATAGGTTTTAGATTTAGTCGGGCTTGGCTAACGCAGTTCTTGCTGGCAAAGGTTCATACGTACATATTATTTCTTTGAGTTGATTTCCATATAAATTTTAAACTGCTGAACGTATTTTGGTCTTCTGTCTTTTATCTCAGTTTTTACCTAAAGACTACCATAAAATGATTTCACAACTTATCATCTGCGTACTAGTACATCGAGTTGCGGAGGTCGTTATGTATAGCTTTTCGACAGTGAGAGGTCAATTTTGGCACAATATTTCTCTTTCAGATTAGGCAATTTTTTCAGTTTCTATAAATCGATGTACTTGTAAATATTTTACAAGGTTATTTTTGGAGTTGATATTTTTCAGAAGGAAATAAACGAAAGAAGAAATGGCAAATTCTGCAATATTTACACGTTATTTTTCCCATTCGAGGGTTCCGGAAGGGCGCCACCAAGGGTCAAGGTTTACGCTCTATTCAATACCTTGGTGACACGGCGGCCTGGTCGTCATAATTACAGGCCCCACTTCACACTTTTGCTACATTTTGTCGAAAAGTCGTGAACCCCGATCAAAGTGGAGAGGGAGCCCCTGGACCTGGCAGTCAGACAAAAGAGGGGAAAAAAGTGAGCCAACGTAGAAAGTAAGAACCACTGTGAATTACCCATCGCCTTGGCTCCGTTTCATGCTCAATCCTGTCAGTCAGTGAGAACATTCACAGTGATTTTACCCTGTTCGCTCCCCCCCCCCTTTCCCGTTTTCACCAGCTCAGCCGTAATCCCCCCTATATGTGGCCTTAAACGCGATGGCTGGCACAACCGGTCCGTCTTCCTGAGTTATATTACTCAGCGTCGTTGATTAGCAAAAAGTGCAAGCCGGGGGAAAAAAGCCGAACTGACCGGCTCAGGCCGCTGCAAAGTTTAAGGGGATTACCAGATGAACTTTGAATTTTTTGGTCGGCTACAGGATCGTTTAGGCAGCGCAATTAAATTACTCTTCAGGTTCCGCAGAGGAGTACCGTAGAAACCATGCTTTGGTCATGAAGATAAAAAGACCTTGGTACAAAAACTTCATGCATTGTCACTGCTCCGCCGTTTATTAACGATACAAAAACGCATATTTTTTACCACTGAATTGATGATTATACATAACATATATATATAATATATGAATTGATGATGGTTGACAAGTCGTTTCATTACAAAAAAAAGTTTAATAATTCACCACTGCCTTTGTGGAGATGGAAGTCCAACTACGGACGGCGCTTTTCATTGTCAGTTTTTGCGGCTACCTTTTTCTGAAGGGGCCTCTCTGCTCTAAGATATAAGTGAATCCTTGTTTTCAAGTTCATTTGGATATTTCACCTTCACAGGATGTTGAGACGAGGTTTAGTACGTAGTTTCTTTAGGAACGACAAAGGGCGGCTCTTAATTATCAAGACACCTGGCGCGGCCTGTCCATCTTGCACCCAAACCCGCGGTGCCTCGCTTAAACACGAAGCAGGGCTCAACACCCTGCACCACATCCGCTTTGGGGTCACCGAGATCAACGACAAAAACATCGTTCCTCGACCTCCGCACGGCGGTTTTCAATTTAGAAACTGTTGCGTTGGCCATCAAGTAGTAGTTGTCTAATCGCATCAGTTATTGAATCAAGCTGGATTAGGTGAACCTGTAAATAACAACCCCTCGTTGCCCCATTTAATTTCCTATTCTGACCGATTTTTTTTTTTCGGAGCAAAGAAAAGAAACCCAGATAAGATTTTTTCCCGAAAGGAGATTTGCTCCACAGACGCCCAAAAATTGCGCGAATGGGTCTGGTCCAACGTTAGTCCTTATTGTGAATCAGTAAGTTTACTTCTGTCATGAAAGGTCGTTTGGGGTTTAGGTTTCAGTAATAACTGCAGAAAATGTAGATCGTTAAGGACGCCTCTGACCATGGACGACGATCCATAAAAGGGAAGTCTGTCATTTTCAGACCCGCTAGAAAGTAAGAACTTTAGTTTGGGGAGGGGAGATCTCATTTGGGGTACTTTTGTGGAATTGGGTGTTTGGTCTTCGACGCTAGTTTCTGGTCGTTCAAATTCTTGCATCTTTCAATGCCGTAGAGGTGCACGTAATGTGTATATTGATCCAATAAAGAGGTATACACATTTGCTCGCTAATGCGCGTAATGAATGTGACGGGAATGGTGCTGGATGAGGATTTGTAGAAAAGAAGGAAATGAATTTAAAGGTTTCTTTCTGACAGATCACTGATGACAGTTTCGTCAAACTTTTGTCTAGACCAGGGCGATTTTTAGTCGACTCAGTATTAAATTATTTTCAACTATGATGTATAAACAAAAATAAATAAAAATGAATGCATCACAATTTCACAATTAAGCCGTATTTCTAGCGTGAACAGTGACGCCGACATTATGGATTGATGTTAGTGTTTATTAAAATCTTCCTTTGTGATCAGGTTTTAGCATAGTTCCCGCCCAAATCCGTTGCTCCGCCTCCAAAAAGGGAGTGAGAAGAAGAAGTACTAATTTCTGTCGAATGTTTTCTATTTGCAAGTATTTTTTAAGTGCGTTATCTATTCTTACTGCCGGATTTTGCATAGTGCACAAAATGAGACGTCGCACAAGTGAACCGTGGTGTGCTGCAAACAACAACGCCTGAACTGTTCAGTTGGAACAGACTTTTCCCTTTTAGCTTGTTCTTGTGGCAATACCAGGCATTGGACATTCGCTATCAGAAGGGCGAGGTTGACACTGAGACTGCATTAGAAAAAACACTATGTTTTTGTCATGTTGTTTGTAGCTCGCAATATCATGTTTACTCGTGTCTTTAGACCGCAGGGGAAGACAAGACCAAAGGGAATGTACGGAGGATAATTCACGGCACATACGGCCGGCATACTGCCTAACTTGGGACCCGCCCTATTTCTTAAGAGGATGCCACTCAGTCTGTGAGTCAGAAATGCTTCTCACCATTGTCAGACCTTTTGTCATTTCTAAAATTGTCAGTGATGTATGAAATTTACAAAAACTCAGCGTCGGTTCACTTTGGACGATTAGGTAACTGCGCTGGCATTTCGGCGTGTAATGCGACCCAGCTTTCCAGCTTTCAGTCGAGCAATGTTTGGCAGCAGGACCGTCCTCCACGTGGCTCCCATAATGTCAAGTTCATCGTAATATGGTATGGGTGCGCGTATTAGCCTTTGGAGAATTCTGTCTTGAGATGGTGCTGGTTCAATCTGTATGACTGGTGACTCACGGCTCATCCATGTCCAGCGGCGCCCGACCCTCCTTCCTGCGTCATCCGCTAAGCGAGACGTCGTGGCACAAGACATGCGGGCTCTGAGGAGTCGAGAGTTCGCTGCGGTGGTGTGCTGCCATAACCAATCGTGGATGGCCGTTGGGATACGGAGCCCCGCCATATGTTGTAATGTCGTTCATTAACAACGTCAGGCAGACCGTGCAAGGGCGACTTGGGGCCCTGGGGAAACGCTCTTGGTCAACGGCGTGTTTCCCTGCTTTGCGAGGCCCGTGCCGCCGGCGCCATCACCGATACACTTAATTGGTCAAATTATAGCCCGCATTAACGGGGCGAGACGATCTGTATCGGGTTGGCTCTCCAAAGAGACGAAAACAAGCGTGGATGAAATTTCATTTTATCCCTGTTTGGCAACTTCGGTGACAATTTCATCTAATTGCAGTCGTCTCGAACTTGTTCATTTATTGGCCCTATGAGGAATGGAAGAAGGAGAGGGAGGAAAAAACCTCTGACGTCATTTTCTGAAATGGTTATGCTGCATAGGTTTCGTCGCAAGAAATTGAGTATGCATCGTTAAGACTTTGGTGTTTCTCTACAGTTCGCTCTTCAGTCGGATAGTTTTGCTGTTCCAGAGTCTGCATTGACGAACTTGGCCTCGTTGTTCCGTGGTTCATTTTGTTCAAATAAAGGAGCTGAGGACTCTGAATTTAAAGGGCATCACTTTGAATTAATGTGTTTTAAACTAATCACGTATTTTAACTTTCCATCTTATTTTGACTACAACTGTACATGCGTGTTTTATTCCTCCACGGTACAAGTAACCTTTTTTTCACAGAGTGGAAGATCTGACAGAAAACATTTTTACTGTGGTGTTTCTTTAGGGGCTTTCCTCTGGCATTGTGAAAACTTATCGGTGGGCCTACATGATTTCCTATCACGTAAATGCCTGCGATGATAGTCCAAGGCAGAAGAGGAAACTGTTCAAAGATATGAGAAGTCTGATGGTCTGTTTTGAGTCAGGTAGACGACTCGTAATCTTGCGCATTTTGTGCTGAGTTCAGTCTGTGGTCAATATGTTATCAGCAGTGAGCAAGATTTACTTGCCGAATTCTTCAAATGTTCTAACCCCCTGTTGATACTACTTAGAGCTAGCTGGAATTATGTAACAGAATATCACTAGCTGTCGCTTACCAAGCCAATAACTTTGTTCGCACCTTGCAGGCCCGCGTCGGCCGGGCTCGCCGCTTGGCCAGCATTACGTGCCGTCGCTGCGTAAGGCTGCCCCGCGCGACGGCCGTATCTACTGCCCATCAATCTTACTTTCACCGAATTAGTGTCACATCCCTTGCGTTTATGGCATTCTCTCGGATACGGCTGACATGGCGTGTTTAACCTCCGTCAATTTCGGAGGGAGTGTGTTTTTTGTCTTTTTTTTTCTTTTAAGAGTCCTCTGTTCTTCCTTCGCCACTTGTAATTTCTCGGGCCCGGTGCGGGCGGCGCAGAAGTAGTATGTAGCCCCGAAATTAGGCCCCCGAACGTGACTCTCCCTGCCCTTTGCCACATGTTTTACAAATTTTCCGCGGGTGACGGTTTTCACCTGAAACATTTATGGCACCGAGGAAGGGAACTTTTTGATTTATTCACGCCATTAAGTTCTCGCAAAACAGGGCAGCCGTAATCAGGTGCGCCGTGCACGTCTAAGAGTAACCAAATACGCTCCCATGCAAGCGACACTTTTCGTGCCTCTTCCGTAAAATTTCCCAGGCGAGACATTTTTTTCCTCACACAAAAGATGATTCATCGCTTATTAGCTTGTGAAATCCTAAAAATGGAAGATGGCCGTCAATTTTGTAGCTGAACTGAAGTATCTACAATCAGATCAGAAAATGTGATTGGTAAACACCTTGGGTATTGGTCGTTACTTTAATTGGTAAATCAGTCTTTGACAGACTGCAAAATCAAAGGAGACCCTCGAGATATTAATTCAGTGTGTAATTAGAATATATCACACGAGGAAACCAGATAACAAAGTACCAATCATACGACGCATTTCCCTGTGTGTTTACAAGTTGGGGGCATCCTTATTTTTCCGCTTTATTTTGTAGTTGAAAAAAAAACTAAGGACGAGCGTTTTTTGTCATTTTTGTACATTGTGAACAGTTTGCACGACTGCCCCTTTTGTCTGAAACGGTCCAAGTCATTCTTTGTTTTGCATCTTCCAACCAGGTCAAAGTGTGGTTCCAGAACAGGCGCATGAAGTGGAAGAGATGCAAGGGGGCTCGCGAAAAGGACTTGGCCGAGAAACGCCTGCAGGCCATGGAGGCCAAACTCGGTCTTCCGCCAGGCAGCTCCAGCGCCCTCACCGCCGGGGGAGCCACCATGCCGGGCCACGTCATCACGTCGAGGAACGGCCTAAGCAGCCCGTCCGAGCTAAACGGCTACGAGGACAGCGGAGGGCTGAGCCCGCCCGACAGCTACGGCAACCCGGAGACGGATTTCAAGTGACGATGCACACGCAGTGCGATGAGGCTGCGGCCAGACTTGTGTCGGGAATGTGCCGCATCGTGGACGATCTAGCAACGCGCGTAAACGCCAAACTGCAGGACTGTAAATAAACATGGAGGATGTCGATCAAAGAATTTATCTATCGGCCCAGTATTTATCGATGGAGAAACCTAAGCTGTTTGGTTTGTATTGAAGTGTTTCCCTCGGCAATGGGATCGTCCGCGACAAGCATGTGCGGTATTTGCTCCAACACGCGTAGCTTGTGTTGTGTCAAATCAATGTCCATCTTCAAAACGTTGTGCATATACCGAAAGAACGACCATGCAATCAATGTTAAGGAAAGCACAGTGGGGAAACTACAGGACCCATGAATTACCAATGCAAACAGCAAATGGACGCGTACCCTGTGACAGAACCCAAGACCCCTGAATTCACAAAACACCAACAGTCCTATGGAGATCTTTCATAGTTATGTATGTAAACTTCCACCACAAACTTGTGGGGTGAACTGCATCCGTACCCCAGAGCGTGTTTAGTCGTCTGTGGATTTATGAAATGTTTTATTCAATAGTTCAAGGACGGGATGCCCTTGTTTTTACCTTTTCGTATTGTGAGCCTATCTGCGGTGGAAGCCATCGTGCATGCGTCACCAAGGACAGTCTACTTGTATATACGTCTTGCAATGTGAAAGTTTTCGTGTTCGTCGGGATTGGTTGCAAATCACCACAACAGGGTTGTTTCGACCACCAGGAATACAGACTTTAGTGTAGGCCTAGATGACAACACTGTGTGCTTGTGGTGTGGTTGGGAGAATGTTATTGGAAGTCGCATTTTAAAGTTATCGTAAATGGGAGAATAGCAGATGTGGTTGGATGTACATAATTACTGAAAATGTCGTCTTATAATTGTAGAAATATTAATTTAAGTTTAATGGTACACTATGGTTATAAAAGGTATGCAGCAGTTGACACACGTAAATCAACAGTTGGGGTGAAAAGTACAAGTACACGGAATTAATTATCAAACATGTTTTGGGTACGTTAGGAAAGGTAGGCCTACCCAAAGTATGGTACCACCGGAGTGCGTAATCAGAACAGCGCCGTACACTTTTCCACGTACACAATTTCCAAGAAATTCCAGGAATCTGTACCAAACACGGGAGAATTGTTTATATTGCACTGCACACTTCGTGTTGACTTTTGTTGACGCGTGGCTATAGGCTCTCAAACTGAGCTCTAACAAGTCTGGCCCGGACGCCCTTGGGACCATTTGTACAATTTCTCACAGCGCTAAATCATTCAGTTCCTCGTGGTCCTCACTTTTCCTGTGCCCATTTCCTGTATTCTTTGACAGTGTAAACACACACAGTACATTACTTAAACATTACTGTGCAGGTATGTTTGCATTAATGCAGTTTAATCTGTACATAGGTTAAATATGAAGATTAAAATGTTTCACCCATTTTTAATATGGATCTCTTACACGTCAAACACCATAATAATAGCTCGAAAGATCGGATTTTTTTCACCTAATTATTAGATGCGGATACAGCACCCTGAGTGCAGTAACCTCAACGAATGATTTGGTATTGGTATCAATGATTGTCAGTCAGCTGTATAATATCAAGTGTAAGGGATCTATAACTTTGTGGGTTTTTATGTTTGTTTGTTTGTTTGTTTGGTTTGTGATGAATGAAATTGATTAGAGAGAGAAGTCGCTGTCTTAGCCACTAAGTTCGCGTAACTTCGGGAGACGCACCCCCTTGTGCCCGTGTCCAGAGCCGTGTACAGAGAGAGTTGCGACATGAGTTTCACCATTGTTGGAAACAAACTTGCTGGTGTACGTACGCTCCAGTGCGCACGAACAGTTGTATACGACAGCGGCACGCCCGACTGTACACATAATAAACAGCCATTTTGTTTCCAAAATCTGAAGCTCGCCCTTCTCTCTATCTTTCTTTGTACGCACAGCTCTGCCGTGCCAATTTCGGATGCCCAGGCTTATTTGAAATCTTAAAATGATCATAAACTATGACAAAAAGGTGTATGTTCTAGGCACCCCCCCAGAAGTTTTACCCCAGTTAAGCCACTGTGATCACTGTGGTCGTTACGCTGCAACTATGGTTTCAGTCTCAGCTGTAGTTAAAATGATCCCAAATATAATGCTGCAGTTGGGATGACCAAATTGTAAGCGGCAAATATCTATTTTAAAGAAATAAATATGCATTCAACAGGTTTTTGCAGCTTACACCTGACGGACTTGATAAAATCTATGCTTAACTAGGCACGTCGTCGATTACAATTACCAATTCTCTTAGCATGTTTAGCTGATATACACGAATGACAATGGCGCATGCAGTTGGACACACACTAAAACGCAACGCCATACACTTGGGACCGTTCAAACTGTAGTTGGGACAGATGTTGCAGTTGGGCGGAACATCCCACAGTGCAACTATTTACAGAGGCCAGAGAGGTTTTAGGGTTTACGGAATCAACGTGCCAACCACTTTGCTGCCCAGTGTTTGGCACCACGTAAGTCAAGACATATAAATCTTACCTTTAGTTCATTATTAATTTTCAAGCGTCTTCGATAATTTCAGGGTTTTTTGTTGGATGCACGGATGGTACGCATTTTGCAAGTTTGACTAATTGAAAACAGTAACTTTTGTACAACGTATTATTTATTGCGATATTGAAGTACTATGTCGTGTATTTTATGAGTTTACTCAAAACACCTTTGGTCACCGTTGCCAACTACTAAGGCATTTTAGATATGGACCATAATGGTAAAGATTCGTCTTTTGATTACTAAAATACAATCAGCACTTAAAGGAACCAGGAAATGAATTTTTCTTAGAATCACTTTTTGTGTATCTGTGTTCTCCTCTTCAGTGTATGAAGACTGTTTGACATCTTTTTTGAGTTTACGTGAACGGTGCACTTTTTCAAACATTAAAAATTGACCAAGCATTTCTGGACAAGTGGGGGCGCTTTTGCTTTGATGTAAATCCAGGAAGACATGGTTCAGGTTGCATGTTTTCATGTTCAATTTGTGAATCCAAAACTTGCTTGGTATTTCTGTGAAAAGGATTTTTGCTGGATTATTGCCATATACTCACACAGCAGTAAATTGCCAAAGAAAATAAAGTCTGTCATAGCAGTGGTTAAAAAATCTAGAAATTTTCTGTGCACAAATCAGTGCAATATTGAGATTCAGTGCCTCAGATGACATCATAGTGCTGCTCATGAATATGCAAATAGAATTAGCATAAATCCAAAAAAACATCAAAATATGGGTTAAAATTGCAAAATAAAATATTAAAATTGGGTTAATTGAAACCCAAAAAATGCAATTTCAAGGGTTTTAGTAAAATTTATAAAAATATTTCTATTTCCTGGTTCCTTTAAACCTGTTCACGTGATTGGTTCAAATACGTACTTCCGAGAATGTCTTAAACGGTTTTAACAAATTCACGAATGAGTTGTGGGAACTCCAGTTTATATATGAGATGTTGTTATTCTGGCTTGTTTTTATTGGAATATTCAATAAAATCAGCACAAAGAGTTCCATTTTCGGGCTTACTTGTATTTTTGTGTATCGGTGTCTCTTGGAGACGTGCCTCGGATCGAGCCAGTGCGCTTTGATGTACAAGGGCCATATTTGTTAACACCGCAGATTTTGCAGTTTGGGCTCCAATTGGCGCTGATGAATCGGCGAAGGGTGGAGGAATTAGTGGACCGCTATCCTGAATATGAAGCACTACGAAATATTAGGGAGAATGCATTTGAAAGGCATATTTCTATTTGGGAAAACAGTGCTAGAAATCACGGGTACTTATTCGTCGTGTTTGTTCGTTTCGAACACCAACTTTTGTGTTCGTTAAACCGAAACAGTGAAAACTCTGTGAACTGGTGTAATCTGGGCGCCGCGATTTGAAAGATTTCAGATTTTCCTGGAGTCATGTTCCTTGAGAATTACCCTGAAGTCATCAAAGTAAGTAAAATATTAACATCTTGAAATAATAAATCAGCACAGTCGACAACACGTGCCTGCTATGTACGATCAAACCGTTACGGGATGATGGCAGCTCCTGCCGTCAATAATGTCAATATCATCATATGAGAAAATCAGAATATTCATCACAAATAAAATCTTTTTCACTACTAATGCCAATATTCTAGTGTTTGGAGCTTTTGTGGAACCTTCCATCCAAACATGTCCATCACCATTTTAAAAAATGTCGAAAAATAACTGATAAAAAACTCCATTGTAAAATAAAGCACTCCAAGTGCCCATATTCCCCTCCCTATTGCACAAAAATACAAACTGGCAATCCTGTGAACAGCTTTCAACACTTCTAGTGATAAAACATCGAGTTAATGGGCCACAAACCTCTAATGTATCCGCCCCGAGCTGCTGAAGTCTCCCCCAAGCTGCTAAAGAAAGACAGGTGGTTACAAGCGGGTTCTTGCACGCGTTCTGCGTGTACGCAATTACCATACATGCTGTAATAAAATAATTCGTTGCGCGTACTCCGTACTATGAGCTCCGCGTCAAACGCGCATATACTTGCGAACCTCATGGTGCGCCTTTGCGGTAAGAAAAAAAACCTCTCTTATTCTGCTCGGAGCGGATAACGAATAATTCCAGGGCATGCAAAATTGTACATTGGTTGTTCGACATATAACTCGAACGATGGATGTTGATCGAAAAATTATGTGGAACTATCCATCCTCCTGGGACACGGTTCAATGGCTGGTCACTAAAAAAAAAAAAAAAATGTGCTCCTGTCACCACCACAACTTGTTCCACGGTTATGTAGCTACTGTTTCCTGTCATGGCCTTTGAGTAAAATGAGCTTATTTTCGTATACGAGACTGCATTATGGAGGTACACTTTATATTACAATTTCGTTTATATAAATTATATTTCCTGTTAAAAACTATGAAAGTTGAAGTACTCACCTCCGTCCAACCGCACATAACTATGCAACAATTTTAATAGTTTAATTTCGTTTCTTCATTTTCATTTTTAATGTCATTATTGTTTTAAGGACCCACGTTGAGCCAAGGCTAAAAATATGAAGCGAGAGGGCGCTATTCCCCAACTATGGTCATACCACTGGCAGCGTCAGCGGTTCGATATCGGAATAATTTTCTGCCTGCTGAACCTAGGCCTGGGTCTTCGCCCGAACGTTGGAAATCCGCGGAGACGCGCTGACAAGAATAGCCGTAGCTCTGGAGGTAGTGGCGTGTCCAGATCGTGGTCAGGGAGCGGTAATTTTTTTTTACTTTAAATGATTGTCTTATTTCTTTTCAGTCTGTAAATTTAGCATCCTCAACCCCTCCCCCCGCACAGTTTAAAAAGATTATCATTATTTTATGAATTTAGGTCTTCAGTTAAAAAGTGGGGGAAGTATCTTCCACACACCCTGGGTTTAATTTAACTGGAAAACTAGCCTTTAAAAAAGCTCCATTCTGAATGGAGTAGGGGCATCATTTTTCCATAGTGGCAACGAACTTTTACACGGAGGAGTACTTATGAGGATCTTCCGATGAAAATACAGGGTGTATTTTCTAAGCGCTGTGCGAATGTAATGAACTGGTACATGAAAGTTATGAAACTGAACACCCTAAGTATGGTTGCTTCGGAAAGGGAAGGCCTAATTCGTAAGCCTTCCATTAATGCCCTACCTGCATCTCTACAATCCCAGGTGAATGAGCACCATTGTTTTACAAATCAGTGCAAGCATCCTTTTCCGAATTGGGCTGATGCCTATCTGTGCTGCGTAGGCCCCTATGTTCATTAAAATAAAAGACATTCTTTGGAATAATAATTTATTCGTTAAAGAGGATTTTGAAGCATGTCATTCAGAAACACCCTCGACGTGTCTGCCTTCCCTTTCAACACACGTCCTGCTGACGCGGGAACAATTGAATTGTTGATACGTGGAAAATGGCTTGTACGGTGACTTGTCTTAGAAAATGGCTATGTTACATTGCTAGTGGGAGGCCCTCAAAGACATTAGTACTGTTACCATATATCAGTATCAGCATTTAAAATCAAGGAACATTCAGTTAGAACCGGAACTGGAACGTGTGCAATGTTACCATTTCAGTGCACAAAATTGACACACTACAGATAATAATTTAACCGTAATTATGTACATGTGAGCTACAAGCGCAGCACTTGCATTCACTGTGATGTGTGCACGTTACGTAGGTGTAGATGCTGGGCCATTGCACTAGCGCCCTCTGTTGGCAAACCGTGTGCTGTGTTATTTTGCCATGTACATCGCTATTTACACTCGACCTTTCTACTTGTAAAACATGCCTGTTTATTTTTCTAAGAGACTGTCTAAAGTACACGGTGTGCTATACAAGTTAGTTGTTATTGTGATCTGAGGTGAATCGGACATGTCCAACCTGTATAGGAGTAAAAATAGTTGAAACAATACGGCTCCTTAAAACAAAATCAGCTTTTCTCCATTGTAAAATCACTTGAATGGAACCCACTGTCGCCCTCTCCGGTATGAACAGTGTAAAGGGCGATAGAAAAAATAATTACAAAATGAGAACAAATTTAATTGCGCAGATGCCATATCAACAACTTCCAAAAATAATGACGCAAATGGACATTTTTGCTAAAAATGAGTACTGGAAACGCCCACAATTTTCAAATGAATTCGAAACTAAGACATTTCGGAGACGGCTTTATGATTATATACTGCAAATGAAAAAAATTCAGGAGTAACAAAAACACACGTTCAGGACAAACATACAGCACAATAAACCAAAACGGGGAAATAGATGTACATATAAAGCGAATCTTAGCAAATAAAAGGCAAAGCCTCATGAAATGGTCTCTTGCATGTTCTGCCGTAGTTGGTGCTTGTCTTCTATGAGAATGCACATTGCATGCAAAAGATGCCACACCATCCTTTGGCTATTTTCTTCTTTTCGTCACATGGCCACACCATCCTTTGGCTATTTTCTTCTTTTCGTCACATGGCCCCCGTTACGCGCCAGCCCCCCTCCCCCTCCGGAGTGGTCATCGTCTCGGTACCCAAAGTGTTTGATCTGGAGTTGCATCGATTTTACAGAAAAAAAAGAATGTGCCAAACATTATGTTCTTGCTGTTGGTTATAGCCCTAAATTCCCGAAGTAATTTGAATGGAAAGAGATGAATTAATTACATTTTAAGTACTATAACATGCAACAATCATGCAAATTCCCAATTCTGCCCGCCCACAAAAAAGGAAAAAGAAAAAGGGCTTCCATCGTGACTGCCTCGAATCAAAAAACAGGGATCGGCCCTCAGAACCGCCATTTTAAAAGGAGGATGGATAGGGCAACTGTATCCTACGTTCACTGCGTTTAATGCCCTAACCGTTTTTAATTGTTTAATTGTGTTTAAAGACGTAAACATATTCTTTTGTAGTCTGCTGTAACAAAGCAAACATCACGCTGCGCAAAGACTCTGCTAGGCCAATAAAGGGCGCCCGTGCCGCTGGTGCACCGGATGTGCCACCATTAACCCTGGACTGATTAGGGGATTTGGCCCCTCCCATTTGTAGTCAAAGTCTTCAACAGAACAATACCAGTGCGTGCAACAGGGCCCAAATTTTTCTGAAAATTCCTTTCGCAGAGAATTCCTGTTTTCACGTGTGCTCAGTTGGTGCTGATTATTAATTCATCGCTTGGTTGGAAGTAGATCTGAAAAAATAATGTGCATATTTGATTATTTAAAAACCCGTAGCCCGGCCATTGATAAGCAAGCGGCATCCTTCATCTTTGTACGCTGCATTAGCATTAAAGAGGTCATAATACTTGAACTATATTACTCCGCGAGCCACACCATTTTTACTTTTTCCGAATAAGAATGAATTATTAGTGATTATACCATTAATGTATGTAGCAAGTTTATTGTCTTGGTTCCATTAAAACAGCTTTCAAATAATTGTACATGTTACTAATATGTGCGAAATCAGAAGGTAACTACTTTACATTTATCAAAATTTGTCGAGGTCAAAAGAGTGATGTGGTTCAAAGATGGCGGCTGTTTAAGAATAAACGTATGCAAGAAAAGAAATTAACAACGCTTTGTTTCTGCGAATATTCTGGTAATGCCTGTTCAAAATGTTTTGCGAACCAACCGCTGTGTGGTAAATTATGCTTTAGATGATTCTAAGGTTTTTGTAAGGAATAACTTGAGGTGAAATTGCGGCGTTTACAACCGACTGCAGTTACGTTAGCGCTCGCTCGGATCGGAGGTCGTCGGCGGGTGGGTGCGTGTGCACAGCGGAATAGGAGTTGTGAACGACGTACGTACGTGTGTGAACGACGCTGCTGAAGGTTCAACATCCTCGGCAGGCCGTCGATTCGCTTTTTTTAAAAGCTGGCTCCACAAGGCAGACTCATTTCACATCATTGCTTTCCTCGGGCTTCGTTTTTATCCACATGAGCCAGCTCCGACACCCTAAAATTTGATGACGGCAGGACATGCTGGATAGTGACCGGCGAAGTTGATTGGAAAACCGGAGGAAGTTGAACTTCAAGAACAACATTCTAATTCCGTTACAAAAATGCAACATAAAATGAAGTGACTTCAACAGCCGTCCAGTCCCAGACGGCAGATATGTCAGGTGAGACTGATAATATATAAAATGTGTTTTTTCTTTACTTTGGGTAGGCTACCTCATAGCTTAGTACTACTACTAGTACTAGTCAGCTAGTAGTATGGTGTGTAATGATGTAGGGCTAGTCCGAGTAACTTCACGAACTTGGAATCTACAAATTGCCTTTTTTAACATTTAGGCCTAGTTCAAATGTTAAACAAATCAATTTAAAGAGTCCAAGTTACTCGGACTAGCCTAGGGGTACATGTTCAGAGTTATCAGACATGTCAGTATAGTAGAATGTTCAAAGACCATACATGTACATACCATGCATGTGTGGATTGCATAAATCTCACATGTACCAAGCATGTCCTTCCTCCGTGGTTTAACGTGTCATTTTATGTTCATTTTCTCTGTTGAACAGTTTTTTCAAATTGCTTCGTAATCTTAATTGAAACCTGGAAACTGAGACGAAACGCAACAAAGTGTAAATTTGCCTTGAGCCAGTCCTGCATGCAGTGTTCATTAGTCACGTTAGTATTCCACCCACATTCACGGCTTGATTTACAAAAAAAGTAGCATGCACTGGTGCATGTAGATCAAAAATCCGACATGCACCAGGAAAAAACCTACATGCATCATAATTTTGCGAATATGGGTAGCGCATATTCCTGTATATAGCACTTCAAGGATTATAAGCCAAAGATAAGGTTAGGTGTGTACATGCACTATGAATCTGCTGTGAGGAATGGGAGAAAGAAACAACACGTTTTTACACTATCTGGTCAAGAATTCAACAAACTTTATTCTTATTCTCAGTTATTGGTAAATATGCAGGAAATGAGTATTTTGGTGGTTAAAATGTTACATGCACATTGTACATGCTTAGTAAAAAAGGTTATGTGCACAAGCAAACATCTACATGCACTCGTGCATGCGTGCACCGGGTAAATCGAGCCCTGCCCACATTGTAAGCCTACAGAGTCCCCCAGAAAACAAGTCCGCTGATAATAGGTACAACATGACATTTGCATCTGTCACTGAGCTGACCATAAATGTCAGCATCATAGTCACTTTTCTGCCTGTTTTCATTCTCAAATTTAATTCACAACTACATAAACAGTGTAAGCATGGAACTAGGGGAAATGTGTAAGTAAAAATGTCCAAATCCCCCAAACACTCACTGCGCATTTTGAGATGATATAGTAAAAACAAATGGGTACCAGTTCATGGTCCAATATCCATGACCAGAAAGCATTGTTAGTACTGAAATGAGGTATATTCTTCAAACTGAAAAGGAAATTCTGGTGAAAGAGTGTAGCACTTGATACTACCCTTTTCTTTGTTGTTTTCATCCAAAAAGATATGGCTTAGTCTCCATCTTCCTCTCTTTATCTCATCTCGTGTCCTTTTTCAGTTCTTTTGGTACACGTACACCTTGTTAGTTGCATTCTGCACAGAAAACCAAGATGTACAATACCAGGAGGGCCTCATGAAATTGAATATTAAGTGATCGTGGATGGATCCATTCTTAACCTGACTGCATAAAAATAATGCATCCTTAGCTGCAGTTTTTGTTTTTTATCTCGATATGGTCATTAGATATTCTGTCACTGTGCCAAAAGAATGTGTAATTACATGTAAATATTCATCATTACATTGAAATGAATGTGTTGCATGGCCAATGATAAAAACGCTTGGAACAAAAATGAAAGACCTGTTCAGTTTAGTTTGATTTGTAGTAACGTAAGTGGCAAAATTAAACCTATATATTGGACGTCGGTGATTCATGCACTAGCACGTATTCTGCAGGTGTTATGACACGTGAATCTGCATGTTATGATTGCCTATGTGCATCATAGTGATGGCTGTTTACGCACGTGATCCAGTATGAAACATCACAGCTGTTGTGCTTCTGTGTTTCAGTGACAAGGCAACGAATAGCATTCAGTGCTCAATCTGAATACCCCAAAATAGCCAAATTGTACATCACTTCTTAGAAACCTACGAGTAGATACATGTATGTGATTCAAAGTGGTCAGAAATAACTTTGGTGCAAAAACAAAAATCAGTTTGTTGCTCACACATGGTAAAAAAAAGTATGGCCCAAAAGCTCACTTATAGGTTTGTCTGTGCCTGTTCTGATATGTATTCAGACATCAACAGTGTCTGCGTATCAGTTGTGCAAATTGTACGCTTTGTGTTCATTGGACACCACACACATATTTACTCAGTGGCACCCACATGCAGTATAAATGTGCTGTGATGCAGGCATTCCTATAATTGTCAATTTATAAGCTGTGAATACTTTTATTAATTTCATCTTTGGAAACAAACTGTATTGAACTTCCAACCATTTTTTTCAGTACTTGACAATACATTAGCCATTCCTCCAATTAGAATTTGTGCCATAAATGATTACTATTTGAGACCAGTGCTGCATTTATGAGTACATAGGGCAGCTTGTGTGTTACATGTATTGGTTAGAACTCTGTTGCCGGCAAAAACTCTTCATTCTTCGCCACAGTACAGGTGCAGTACACGCACTAATCACATACATGTACATTATTAAGAAATGTGTAGCACCATTAACGCAGCCAAAGTTTTTTTTTTCCATAAAAAATGTTCCATGATTCATCACAATCATCAGAACTTTGTTGACATACATGCACATGTATTATGACATGTTGACCGGAAAGGTGTTTTCAAAATACAAATTGCAATGATAATGTTTACAGATTGCGATGATTGCTTGAACAGGGTTAAGATGTGATGTTCGGTGCAGGCCAGAAATCTGGTCGCCCTTAGTCCTTGCGTTTGGTTTGGGCCATCATTAGAGATCAGACTCCATGTTGGTTTGAAACCACATTTAAATTCCCTAATTTCTGTAGATACATGTTTCTTTACCTCTTTATATCGCGATGTGAGTTTTTTTTTGCCATTAGTTGGCCCCACCCCAGCTGCTTGATTGTTCGTAGCTTAACAGGAAAACAAACAATGTTAAAAATCGAGATATATCAATCTTATTCAGAAATTTAAATAACAAAAAACACTTGCTCTTGAGAGTCAGTTGTATAATATATACATGATATTTCTTGCCAGAAATTGGTTCTTTGCAACACCTGAAGTTCTCACTACAGGAAAAATGTCCAACAGGCCATGCTCAGCGGCCGAGTCTAGTGCTTGGCCCGCCTTTAGACTTCTGTGTGTGTGTGTATGTGTTTGCCAAACTGAATCAGAAATTTTGACTCAGCAACCCATCACTCATCACGCTGAATATACATAGATCGGTCATCACTGGAGTTTGTTGCTGTTTACATGCACATGCACTTGTTTGGTCAATCAATCTCTTGAGAAGTCTCCAGGCGTGTGTTGCAGTGTTGCTCTTGACACTTTTGGCATTTTCGAATCCCTGTTCTTGACAACACTCAAGTAACTCAGGAATGGTGTTCTTGAACAGGTTGTTAAGAAGGGGCAAGTGTACATGGCGTCGAGACAGAGCAAGGCAAAATGGCCGAAAAATCGTGGATTTTGCACTTATTTGAGGACCGTTCGGAAGATGAATGTGAAACAGATCAAAATATGGTCCTGGAAGCAACCCCTTTTTCCAGGGAGCAGAGAACGAGAATTCATGGGCTCAACCCTCCAACAACTGGGGAGTGAAAAAATCGATCCGGGAACATCCTCTCGGGTCTGTCGTCAGGTTCGAGACTGCTGTTCTCGTATTGGGTCTACCTGAGTGTGAGCAGGGATTCGAAAACGCTTTACGGTGCTGTACGTTTACATACTACAAATTATTGTGGGTTTTTTTTCATCTTTCCGATCCACTCTAGGTCAGAAAGCTATCAAAAGTGGAATGACTGTGCACTTCACATTCTTAGCGCAAAACAGATAACTGTTAATTAGTAGCTATTCATGAAATTAATACAACATCCCGTAAATTAGTTTTTGTATCGGTAAATTTCAGACTCCCCGTCAAAAAGTCGAAAGGCAGATAGAATTGATGGCATTGGCTTTTTGGTTAAGGGGACCTCACTTGAGACTCCTGTTGTGACATGCAAGTCACCAGATTGCCAGCAGTGGTCTCTAGTTGTTTCTCTATTAAGCCAGAGACTGTCATTATAATATCTCAATATGTACCCTTGGATTTTACAGGTACGGTCTGTCTAATGACAGGATATTGCAACACAGAACAGGCTCTAACAGAAAAACCAAGAGATTGTCCCCTTTTTTTGAGGTTCAGCAACTGAAGATAGATTTCTGATTCCAAAATAGTGTGAAGGACTGAAGAAAAGGGATGCCTGTCTGATGACATCACAGGTACAGCAGCCGATTTCACGACATTTTACGTGTTACGTCACTACGGTCACTTATGCCACATGTTATTGCGTGTGGTGCACTGCAATTAAGAACAGTTTCACGAAACTTATGCACGGGGTGCATGCAAGTCTGTGACTTGTGCAACAAATTATTATGATTGTTATTTATTTCTGGTAATGACACCAAAGATTCCTCAAACGTTCCTGAGGCACTGTGTACCTCGCAAGCCTGAAGATATCTATAGAAAGGAGGCAGTGAGAAGCTGTAGCAGTTTTAGAGGTTAGAGGAAAAGCCCAGAGGAATATTCTGGGTAAAACCCACAAAATCAGGTACTTGTAGGGACTGAAAACCCAATCTACCGGTACATGTGGACTGAGCCAAGAATCGAACCCAGACCGCAGAGGTGGAAGGCGAGAAAAGAACCACTACGCCAACCTGACTCCCCATCGACGTAGCTTATGCAATCATATTACATGTAGGTGGCGTAAGTTATATCGAACAGAGTGAAAATGAATGATTTTGACTAACTTATTGTGTTAGGTTAAGGCTCATCATTGCTTAACAAGATTCATATGAGAAATGTACTGTACAACTTTGTTTTTGAAGGTTATGGGAAAAAAACCTTTTTTGAAATGGCAGGCAGAGGTAATTCAATGACTGTTTAGTTAAAAGATGTTATCCTCGTCCAAGAACTTCAACACAATTAAAACTTAATGTAGCTACGGCACAGATTTGTGGTGCAGGGCTTATGCATGGTTCAAAGTTACACCATGTTTGTTGAAATTGGCTACCGTACATGTACATGTAGATTTTTTATCTAAAAATAAAGGATAACCAAAAGTCACCCAGACCCACTGAAATTGAGACCAGGGGTGAAAGAAAGAAAGAAAGAAAGTAAAAATGAGAGATGGACCCCACTCACTCACACTCACACTATTACTATTAGGCTCACACTCACACTATTAGGCCACCAGCCAAGCATCACACACTGTCATGCACTTGTGATGTGAGTGGTTGTCTGGAAGGTCATTTCTACATGAAGACATGTTTCCCAAGCTCTCTGCTCTTTAAACAGCGGTCCCAGGATAACACAGCAAAACCTCACAAAGTCGGCTACACCCAGTCGGGCAGTGGGAAGCCCCCCGGCCTCCACGTCTGTCATAGCGCAGTCTAGCCATCTCTCACGTAGATCTTTCTCTCCGCAACCCATTTCCCATGTGCGTTGCCCGGTGTTTCATTTTTTTCCCCTACAGTACATGTATGTGGTGCGATTCAACTACATGAAACAGTAACTTAATTGACAGTGATCATTAAGTTTTTACCTCCCGTGCATTGGTTGGTTTTTATTGGTTTGGGGGAAGGGCTGTGATGTGTTATTTTTGTTTATCCTATTTTATAACTGATAATTTTGTTGACAGTAGTCTCACTGTACATGTATCTTTCCTGCAGAAACTGGCATACTTGCCAGTGGAGTAAACATATCACCAACAGATACATGTATATATATATATATGTACATGAACCCTGTCTTGTCTTATTGTATTAATTTTGTGCTGTTTTTAAATTCATAAAGTTAGTGGATAGATCTGTGTACAAAATATGTTTAACACATGAACATCACTAAACAGCAGACATGACTCATGTAGGCATATAAATCACACCCATAAATATGTCTGTTAAGAGTGTTGGTAAATGTATTTTCCCTTTGGGGAAGGGAGGGAGTCCGTGGAATACAAGTACATGTGTTGCTTGATTTTAAGTCCAACGCAAATTGGTGAAGGGCATCTCAGCCTGCATGCCTAGCACCCCAAGACCTCATTCCTGCAAAGTCCTCCATCTGCCCCTTCCAGACAGGATCCCTCCTCCAAAATCCTGTACTTACTTCTTGAATGTGTTCCCTGGAGGAATGGCCACTGCCTCAGCCCATCAAAATCTTCCGGCAATAGCTGCCAGTTAAGGGAGGTGCTATGAGTGATATGGAGCAGTGTAGATCTATGATTTTCAGTAAAATTTAGGCCCATGTGTATATTTAGGTATGGCTGAGTACAGTCGCCACAAAGTCTGCTCTTACATGTAAACCTCGACACAAGGCAGCCTTTGAAACGTTTCATTTATGCAAGGAGGCTGGGGAAGGCTGAGATAAAAGAGTTACCAATTAAACGATTAACGATGAAAAGGTCACTGTCAGATGATGGGTCACTGTGCGGAACTTTGTTGCCATATCATGGTAACCCTTTGTGGAAAGCTTTTGACTCATTTAGAACTGTAGGCTTTCCATTTGTACAATGCACCTGGGTTCTCAGTTTGTAGCTGTTCTGCTTGTCATTGTACAGAACCGAATTGCCATTGAGCAAATGCAAGAGTGGATTGCCTACAAATGCAACAACTCTTACATGTATAAGTTCACCTGTTCAAGCCTTTGTCATCCTCGCACATACAAGAATATTTCTAAGCATTGTTGAAAGAGCAGGATCCACAGGCTGTGCTTCCATACCCAGCATCTTGTGTGCAGTAAATTGCCTCAAATATCTGATTCCTGAATACTGGTGCGTTGCTGATAGTGAAGGAAGCATTGTCTCAAGGTTGTAGGTTAGACCTTGTGTTGTTTGTATTCAGCCATGCATAAATTCATTTTCACATTGTATACATGTGAGATCCTCCACACCGCTCCAGGGTACCATTCACACTGCATCAACATACTGAGAGGAATTGCCGGAAGAGTTTGGGGTATTGAGGCAGTGGGCGCCCTTCCGCAGAACATATTCAAGAAATACTGGAGGATTTGTAGCACTGAGGCTGTGTCCAATTTTTTCGTAGGTGCCGTTGGAGGATGTTTAATGCGTGCATGTTGGCATGAATGCTATTTGAGCTGTTGTGTATATTGTCTAATTCAAGGAAACCGTCTGAGGATGAAAGGCTTCCTAGTCCCGACCAAAACCAAAAACCCATAGCGGGACTGATTTCAGCATTCTTCCAGCCTAGATGGTTGATAAGTAATGGATACACTTTTTTAATGTTGACCTCTTTTAACAGGCCGAAAGAAGAAATTTCCAAGATTTAAAGGTGAACCAGAGGTAGGTGGAAGATACGGCACAGATGCAGTCAAGGTTAACTTCATTTTTTTATCAGTTTCTATTTGGTAACTCTGGTGGGAAATTATTACTTAATTGGGTGGATTTTTTTAATGAGAACTGCGCTAAATCCAGCACTAGATTTCACCCCAAAGTCCGGAATTAATTGATCAAGAAAGAACATGATATTCAGATTTGGGTTTGGTTAGATGGAGCAAGCTTCACACTGATACCCACAGTTACAGACTGTGTAACGATATGCATGTAATGATATGAAGGTCAAAAATGCAGTACATATTATGGTAGTGTACTTACAGGGAATGCACGTTTTTTGCAGTCACCCTTGTTGTTTGCATTAATTATATGTCATACGTTATCTTGCCATGCCTTGCTATTCACATGTCTGTTGTTCAGAGTTTCCTGTCCTGAAGGTGCGTCACAGCATTCTTACGATTCAGTTATTGTTGCTGAGTCGGGAATCCCTACATTACTCGCCGGTGTGTTGGATTGTGTTGGAATCAGTACGGTTTTTTTTGGGGGGGGGGGAAGGAGGATTGCAAGGCTGTGACTTCTCCTCAGAACTTTTTCCTGGTGTCAGGAATTCCAACGTCCAAATTCTAGATTTTTAGAGGTTAAATCGTTCAGATTGTTCAGCTTTATGACTGTACAAATACTAAAAAACTAGATTAGAATAATCCCGGCCATTTGGGAGAGAATTCATTTCTGATGAGCAGTTAAACTCCCCCAAAAGGTCTCAGTATGTTATTTCTGCTGGATGCTCTATGGAGTTCCCTTCATCTCCCAATCTCACCCTTGGGAATGAGGTAAGGCTGCATTAATCAGGTACATTTATGTTGTCGTTCTTATTCTTTGGTATGGTCTGCAGTATACATTAGATGAAGGTACAATGCGACGAGGCCGAGGCAGACCCCGTAAAGACGGATTATCACCAGTTCCACGTAGAAGAAGGTAGCTGTACTGTCGTGGCATAAATTATGCAAATGCAGATCAAAGTGCAAATGATTCAAGCCATATTTGGCCATAGACTGTAGAGGCTTTTCACTCACATGATTTTTGACGGTCAGCATTGAATTTCCACAGATGTGCACAGAAATGCACGTGCCTTCAAAGTCCCCCAACACTTTGTCATACAGAAATTGCCATTAGAGATACCCAGATTCCAAAAAACGTACGCCACCAAGGACATGGTATCGGGTATGCCTTCTGAAATGCCTTTGCTCGTTATGTTATGTGAAAAACCTCTATTGGGTTATAAGCAGGTCGCGAGTACTATCAAAGCATCCAGTCACTGATTATTGCTACCTCAGTTTATTCACGTGTTTTAAGACCTAATTACGGAGCAAGCTGTTCGTTCTGTTGGCAAGTCCCCTGTTTCTGCAAAAAGATGTCAGAAGTAAACTCTTTTTGAATGAAAGCTTTCCTGGTCATCTCTGGGAAAGCCTTTAAATTTATTTGTAATGAAGAGTTTCTGGAAGCAGCTGAAGGGTGCTTGGTTTTCAAGCAACAGCGTGGTGCATGGGAGCAACACATGGACAAATTTGTTGCATCAATTGATTTCTGTCTTTGTAAGCTTTGTTGTAATTTTTAAACATTTAAGTGAGTTGTGGATAATCATCCCAGTGCATCCAGTGACCTCAGGAGGCAGGCAATACTGCCTGCTCCTAATCACTGCCTCCTCTCCCCCATCATCACCCAAGAATAATTTCTTGGCATGTGGTTAGGGATGAAAAGTCTACTGATTTATACATGTATCTGTGGACTGTTTCTGATCATTTGCTGGTGCTGGTGTAATTCCGTAGCCCCCCTTTATATGAAAGAGAATGCTCAAGAACCCATTGCAGATGTTTCTGCCTTTCCTAAACAGGGACAGAACTCATTCTGTATGTTTTCATTCCCAGGCAACTTTGTGAAGATGATGATGACAGCAGCAGTGTCACCTCTTCCCCGGCCCCTGAATCTATCCCGGTCCTGCACCTGAAGGCTGCCGAGGGAGGCCTGGGAGAGTTTGACGGCCAGACCGGCCCTGGCAGCTCCCTGGAGGAGGCCCTGTCTGAGCCCCGACTGGAACCGGAGGTGGACTCCACTGGCCAGGAGAAAATGATCACCGACTTGGAGGTGGGATCTAACCAGTCAGAGGCTGAACCCCACGCGCAAGCTGGGTGAGTGGGAAACTGTCAGAAATTCCTCCTGAAGCACTTTTGGAGGGGAAAAAGCGATGAACAAATGTGCATGGGAAAACAACTAAGTCATTCTAGTTATGCATGTTTATTGGTATGTTTCATTCATAAAATCCTCTTATGAAAATACTGAATTCTGTCTGACCAATTAATTTCAAATTTCCGCAAATCCAACATTTGTTAAAAATTGTAATACTGAAGAGGTCTGAAATTGAATCCCCAACACTGTTACTTTTCAAAGAGTTTGATGTGTTGTTGGAAGTGGAGAAAAGGTTTCTTAGTGAAGCACATCTAGGTTGCCTAATTGCTATGTAGATGTTGTGGTTCCATGTGGGAAGAGCAAATTTGAGGGAATTCTACATGTGTGATGAATTCTTTTTGAGATTTTTCGAGCATGGACTAGGATCATAATGTTCTGGTTGTCGTGTCCAGCAAGGGCAATGCCAGTGCTCAAGTAAAGGCTGTTATGTCATTTTGTTTCGGTGAGTGTTAATTTCACTAAACTCTGTCCTTCCCGATGCCCCACCCCACCACACAGACAAGGGATGGTGTGCGCCCTCTGTTGTTGCGGAGAGAAGAGCCTGCTAGGCCAGGGGGACCTCCTGCGGTTCGACCCCACCCCCGGATTCAACCCTTTCAAGAAGGTGATCCCGCGACAACGGAGGACGGCAGAGGACGATGCCCCGTACAACCCCAACGAGAGGAGCCCCAAACACCTGACCTGGCGCAGGGCCAGGGGCCCTTCCAAAGTGCAAAAGTGAGAGTTCGTTTCATTTTTTTTGGCTCTTAAGTATAGCTTAACCTTTGTTTTTATTTTGTTTCTAAGTGGTTTCTGTGTTGGTCCACTATGGTTGATGTCGAAGCTGGCAATTTAACAATTTTAGTCAACTTGCAACCTAGTTGCAGTCCCAGATTCTATTCATTCAGATGGCCAGTGAATCTCTAAAATGAATTGTTGGTCTATCGTAAAAGACTGCTGAAATATGATGACAGGATGCAAACAGATTCCAAAACAGAGAATGAAATAAAATCTCAGTTAGTTCTTGGAAGGAAATAGACCATTCAGGAAGCCAAACCTTTCTCCAAAAGTAAATAGTGAGCTTGTCATTTTGACTGAAACTGTACTTATCTCTGTGACGCTGTCAGAGAGAAGAGCAAATCGCCTCGGAGGATTCCCCCAGACAGCCTGGAATCCGGCAGCCCCGGAATAGATGAACTGAGCATGGTCGGCCACCCAGAAGAGCCGGACATGCACTCTATCTTTGAACAGACAGGTGAAACCTTTGCTGTCAAATGTAATTTGTTTTTTCCTTACTTCAACAAACCCACCAGGATGGGCCATCTCCATGTTCTATGTGGGTTTCAAGAAGAGCTTGTACAATTTTCAATCTGGGGAAAGCAACTCACTCTCTGCATATTCATCAAGGCCCATGACGTAAATGTTAAATGCTAAAAACTTCTGATTGCCATGTACTTTTACGATGCATGTCTCGGCTTTTGTATGCCATCATCTTCAGTGTTTCACCTGTCGTCTTTGTTGTTCACTTCATAGGACATACCACTGCACATCATTGTTGCGCTGCTTGGTCAGAGGGTGTTTGCCAGAATGAAAACTTCCAGCTTCTCAATGTTGACAAGGCGGTCTTCTCTGGAGCCACTCAGGTATTGCCCATAACACCCCCCCCCACGAAAAATAAAGAAGGGAAACCCTCAATACTTCCGTTTTATGTTTAAAGGAAAATCTGGTTTGTAGTGTTTCTCATGAATCAGAATGTTACACCACTTCCTGTGTTGTGGCCTTATGTGAAAATGATGGCGATGTTTTCTGTACATGTATCATAAATATAGTGCGCAGTATGCATTTAAGTGATGTCAAATTATTCTTTGAATTTGAACTACTGTGAATTGATTAACTGGCCTCTAGGTGGCCTGTACAAGGGTTTGCCTCCCAGGCATAACACAGAGTAGAAAAAAAAGTCAAAATGTGATGTCTGTTGCCTCGTTGATAGCGCTGTTCCTACTGTCGTCGGTTCGGTGCCACTATCTTCTGCATGGAGCTGGGCTGCAAGCGGATCTACCACTATCCATGTGCTGCCAGCAGTGGCTCCTTCCAGGTATGTTTATACCATTTCTATCCAGTTGCTTCCGACTCAGGCACAGTAAGGTACCTGTTTTCACATTCACCCATTGGATAGTCAAGGCTGGTTCCTTGGTCCCATTCATCACTCATGCATTCTCAGGCTGGCGTCCTACCAGGCTGTCATGCAGATTGGTTTTCCCCTCGGCGCCCTGTCTGTTTTTTGTTGGCTCACCAAGACAGCTCTTTCTCAAGGGAATGTCCTACTACTACCGCTCTCGAAAATGCAAACCTAAGGACTTAAGGACAACAATGCGGAAGGTAGCATAGATGACTTAAGAAGGAAAATTTCTGAAAATCTGCAACCTCGACAACAGAGTCATTGATAAGAATCTAAGTTATTGGATAGATCAACCTCTCTGGCCATCTAGACCACAGTTTGCCACCCGAAATGAGAACTTCTTAGTCTTTTAGTTGAAAAGCTTTGTAGCTGCTAGTCCTCATATTACCTGTATAGATACTTGCTTGTTCTGCATGATCAGCGTTTAATTATCAGATGCAGTTGGTTTTTGTAGAGGTTTCTTGTGTTTGGCGGTTGAGAGTAATTGGCTGCACGTTGATGCTGTGCCACTGGAAAATGAAAACTGATTGATCAAAATATGTGTATTTTTTTATCAAGGGCATCAAATCACTAGCCCTGCTCTGTCCTGATCATCTGGACCTTTGTGAAGAAAAAGGTAAGTTTTAAAACAACTCGAGCTCTGTGGAAAATGACGGTGGCTTGGTTATAACCAACATTTATTGCAGTCTTTCTCTTACATGATTTTTATTTTTGGCAGATTGCACATGTTTTCCTTCATAATTTCAGATTAATTTTGCACATTGTAAATTTTCATCCTTCGGGCATTTGGCTGCTGAATCAAATAAAATAAAATCATCACAATCATTCTTACTGGCTGCAAATTGTCTCAACCTGTTATGTGTGTTTTCAACTATTTTTGTTGCTGATGATTGATTGTCTGTCCAGTGGATGAAGAGGAGCTGGAGTGTGTCATCTGCGAGGCCCCGGGCAACCTCCAAGACCAGCTCTTCTGCACCAGCTGCGGCCAGCACTATCACAGCACGTGCCTGGACCCGCCCGTTGTTGTTACGCCCGGGGTCCGCGCTGGCTGGCAGTGTCCGAACTGCAAAATCTGCCAGACGTGCAGGTATGTCGCTAATGCTCCACCTATCATCCATCCTCGTCGAAGGTTGTGACTTTTTTTTAACCCTAACCCTGCCAGATGCAGGGTAGGTGTTAAAGTCTGGCATAATTTGTTGCACTGGGCAATCAACAGCAGCCGTGCAAACTGGTCACGTTGAGGCAACGGGAGCTGGTCCCATTGAGCAATGCCACTCCTGGATCCTGTGGGAGCTGGCATCCGCGCCCAGACTGTTTGGCCATGGCGATATTAAACCTGTTGGATCTTGTTGCACTAGGCAGGCAAGCCACTTTGACAAGCAATGTAGACTAATGCGTGTGGCAGTGTCTCTTGCCAAATACCCCTGAGGGTTAGGGTTAATTTAATTTTTCTTTTTTTTTCTTTGTGTAATAGGTGTTTGTTCAAATATATTTACTGGACGTCTGCTAAAAGATTTCAGTTCTTGCTACCTCAGAGCATTTTTTTTCTCAAGGAACCATCCTTAATTTAACTCGTGGGCATGTCAATGTTTGCTGTAAATTTGTACACACTCTGTTGCAAATTAACCATGTGCAAAACGCCATTTGAGCATGAAGACAAAGTTGGCCATACATTACTGTATACAGTAACCACATAGAGTCTTTTGGGTCAAAATTCAAAATATTAAGCTGTTGCCATTTTCTCTTCCGATGATGGGCAGACAACCAGGTGACGACAACAAGATGTTGGTGTGTGATACGTGTGATAAGGGGTACCATACCTTCTGCTTGCGCCCTGCTATGACCACAATTCCCAAGCACGGCTGGAAATGCAAGGTAGGCCCCTGCCCTGTTACCAAGAAAGCATCCCGACAAAACCTATTTCCTGAAAAATGCTGTGAAAGTGACTTTCATCATTATATTGGGCCATAGCCAAGATAGCTTGAAGGAAAGACACTGAGTGAATAAGAAGTTTTGAATGTGTGAGACAATTAACAATAATCTTTGCTTGGTAATATGTCAGCAAATTTCTTCTACTGTTCTTTGCTTTGCAACTAAATGTATCTGGTTGTGGTAGTGAGAAGGGAATAACGTAATGGAGCTTGTGTAATCTAAATTGCACCCTATTGGGGGTTCTAGTTTTTTGGAATGCGCTTGTGAAACTTTGGTAGGACTGTTTTGGATGGAAATAATCAGAATACAGGTGATTGCACTTCTTACTCTTACCATTGTCTTTTTAACCCCTTTACTTTGGGAGATGGCAAGAGCCGCGGCTTTATGTGAGGATTAGTGCATACCACACATAGTCTATTCACCATGCAGCTTCTGGTTCAATGGAGCCTGCTGCTGGACAAAGCCCTCCATTCAGGGCATACCACAGCCCAGCAGTCACGGTCTAAAGAATTACCGACGCGAAGGGGTTAAAAACAAAACAAAAAAACTTTTGTGCAAGAATTACCTATGATAATAAAAGGTTGATAACAGTGTGAACAAGTTTCCACTTTTGCTAGGAATATCCCACATTTAACAGAGGTCCCTTTTTTCACCCCTCTCCAAGAACTGCCGTGTTTGTGGGGACTGCGGCGCTCGCACCCCCGGCAGTGGGCCCAGCTCCCGCTGGCACCACAACTACACGGTGTGTGACTCGTGCTACCAGCAGCGCAACAAGGGCTACTTTTGTCCGATCTGCGGCAAGGCATACCGACACCACACGACCCACAAGGTCATGGTGCAGTGCGACGTCTGCAAAAGGTTCGTGGGTCTCGGGGACTGCTTGTGTTTAATCACAGGGATTATCCTTACAATTTTTAGAACAGTGCAGTAGATGTCGTGATGACCCCCTGTGCTCTGGGTCTCCTCAAAATTGTCCACTCTTTCACTGTCTCAGAAGTAGCATAAATGTCTGGGAGTCTGTGTGTGACTTCCACTGCGTTCCTTGCGCTGCTTGCTGTGAAAAGGTCGGGAATAACGCCAAGTTTTTATAAGCAGCATCACCCAGAGGTAGAGGATTGAGAGGCTTTGAACGTTTGAAACACCAGATAATCAAGAGAATATGGATGAAAAAAGTGTGTTGAAATGTTTCAAGGGGTATTGTTCGTTGAAAAAAATTGTTGCGTTCACTTTCAAATTCTTTCAAAGTATATTTGAGCATGCCTTGCAGTGTTGTTAACCTCAGAGAAAGTGCATGGGTTATTGTTTTCTTCCTGTTTGACGACTTCTGTGTTTGAGTATGTCGGGTCTTAGTGTCCTTAATAATCTGAGTCAATAGGAATTGAGATTGACAGTACTAAAAGGCATCATCGGAAACAGAGCACCATAAACTGCTGGAGAACAGGTCACTTACAGCTCTTGTTTGCTTGCAGATACATCCATGCTGACTGCGATAACAGCGACGTGGTGACCAACTACCAGCAGATGAGGGCTGCAGGACAGCGCTGTACCTACGAGTGTCGGGACTGCAGGCACAGACAGGTGGGTCCGCCCGCTAAGACATCACCCGTGTTCCTGAAATCCAGGGGGGTGCTCCTTTTTTCAGCAGTCTAAAGGTTCACCCGTATTCTTTGCCCACTACATTCGAAGGAAGAACAGAGGAATGATATCTCTGAGGGCGCTCCAGTTTAGACTGAATTTACTGAGTAGAATCCAAACCTCGATCTGGTTCCCTCTATCCACGTTGCTGTATTCACCAATGCCATACAGCAGAAATGTGAACCATGCTGAAAGTAGCTGAATGCATTGAAATGCACTGTTGGATTTTATTGTACCATACAGTGCAGTGAATGAACACTAGTGTTTTACATATCGAGTGAGACTAGCCCAATTGCGTTTACTGCTAAATTGTGGCATTATGCAACCCTTCTCCAGTGGTGCAGTGTGTTGCATTTTATAGCAGAGATGGGGTTCATATCGTCGGGTGCCCAGCAGAAGGGCGTAAGTGCACTTAAGCCCTTTCACTGGGAAGCATGATCACAGCAGAAAAAATGTTCCTGGCAAAAGGGCGAAAAGAAACACACATTCACTGTAACCCCCAACTTAGAATCTTCCCCGATTCTCCAAAATCAACCGCTTTGCCGTAACACCATGGCTCGTTCTTTGTAGTTGAGTTTTCAAGGGACTCCAATCCCATTCAAAAGGAATCATCTCAAATTTTGTTGTTTTTTTCCTTTAAATTTTGATGTCACCGATAGACAAACCTGGAGATTGGCACAAGGTTTTCTGAAACGAGATCCAGCTCCACCACAATATACAGTGACTCCAGCTGCACAGACACGGGCGACAAAGAAGGTATATTTCTCCTGTGCAAAATATCTGGGGTTTCTTAAGAGTAAGAGGCGGCAGACGACAATGCAAATGGACACGTCTTTGAAAGGATCTGCAAAGGCTGTGGTTTGTTGGCTAGTTGTTTTTTCTGACTGGAGATGGTGCTTTATTGGACATGTAAAACTCTTCTGCATATAATTTACATATAATTTAATCTGCATATGAAAACAGTAAGTTTGCTGCAAGTCTACAGAGTACTTTAACCCCTTCACGCCGGGATTCTTTTGACCGTGACTGCCCAGTATGCAAAGCTCTGTCCAGCACAGGCCTGCTATGAAACCGCAGGTGCATGATGACTAGAATGTATGTGTGGTATGCACTAATCCTCACACAAAGCCGCGGCTGTCAATGGTTCCCCGGGATGAAGGGGTTAATGATAGTATATATTTTGGTATGAAGAATACCAATGTCACTCTTAGTCACTTTCTCTAGCATCAGGTATGCAGAAGTTGGAGCAAAACGTTTTTCCATTGTTCCAGACAGTCTTCCAGCAACAGCTTCGAGCACTCTAGTCACAATTTCCAGATGACTTGTGTACCAGCACCTTGCAGCATAATTCTGTTTCTCTTCCCTTGCTCCTTTGTGCTCTCCTCTTTCCAGCCGGCTATGTGCCCAGGAAGAGCCCTGCTGCCTCGCGGTCCTCGCCGCGGAATGTCGGCCTGACTGAAGACTCTCTTGCCCAGTCGCACGAGTTGGTAGCCAGCATGTCCACATACAACGAGGACAGTCTGAGCAGTATGGACACTGACTATGCTGGAGGAGACGAGCCCAGGAGAGTCATAGAGGTAAGCTCCCCATCTGGGCCCCTTGACCCACGTCATGTAGACCTGAACAGAGTGTCAAGGATCTGTTAAGCAGCAACAGCTGTCAAATGTTGGTGCTACTTTGACTGGGAACCTACTTAGCTCAGCAGATGTATTCCCAGCATGGCAAAGATCTGTGCTAAGCAGTTACATTTGACCAGAGACCCATTGTTGGGCTGGTTCCCTGTGGCGTCAATAATATTGATGGCAGACAGCTGTTGATTGTTCATGCCTAAGATGACCTCTTCTGTATTTGTGTGCAACATGTATGCGTGTCTCCACGAGTCCTTAAACAGCCATCATAATTGAAATTGTTCAGAAGCAAAGCAATATAAAGAAGTTGAACGTTTTTTCTAATTGTAATGCACTTTGGGAAATCTGCAAAGAAGTTATATTCTGCGTGGTCAGTGTGTCACTTCCTGTTGTCTTACCATCTTTCTCCACTGTTAACGTTACCGTCACAGCGGCCTGCCTCCTCATCCACAAGCCACGCCCATTGGCCCCACGCCGGAGGTGGTAAACCGTTGGATAAACTCAGCCAGTTGGGACCATTTGGTAGGAAAAAGTTTGGAGTTGGAAGACCGCGGGTAAGAAAGCATGTTGTTTATGTCAGCTGATTAATCCAGTACTTGCACTATTGGTCTTAAAGAGGTGCTCTATACATTGTTGGTGATATCCCGATGAGTTGATACATCTTCAAGGCAGCAAAAAACTTTCTGCAGATTAACTTCAATATCAAGCATTTACAAAAATATCATTGTCTTGTGTTTTTGAACATGTACACAACTCTGTTTCCGTTTAATAGAAACTGTAAGGGAATGCATCTTTTGATCTTTAATGTTGTCCTGTCTTATTATTCAGGGGAGAGGTGGTTTTGTCGGCAGAAAGAGAGGTCGACACCATCACTCGGGTGCCAAACGAGGCCCCAAACCCAAGAACAAACTCAGTGCATTGCTGCCAACAGCCTCTCAGGTAAGTGCTGCCTCTGTGGATGACACTAAACCAGACGATTCACTTCATACTTCGTGCGAAAGTGAACCCAAAAGCTAACTTGTGCCATCAGATCAAACATTTGCGCTTGGAGGTCACCAGAGTCAAACACACCTGAGCCCAAAGCAAATATCAGTGTGAACCTGTCATGAACACTTCGCCTTTGCATGCACCTGAATGATAACCAACCTTCAGAAAAAAAAACGAGACAGTACAGCAGAGTCTGTGATAAAACTTCCATTTTTACTTAAAAGAAAAATTGACCTTTCAATTGAATGGGTGCTTTACCCTCCAGAGCAACCTCTCTTTCACGGTGGACAACAGTGCAGAGAAGAAGAGCAGCAAGGATGAGGAGGAAGACACGACAATGCACACCACGGTGGTCCTCTTCTCGGCCAGTGACAAGTTTACCAGTACACAGGTACAGTTTGGAGGCTGTGTCCGAATTGTGTGGCTGGGACTAGCGGCTTCTGTAGTGCGTGTGCTACATCCAGCTAAGTCAGAACACAAGACACGACCTAACTTACCATCGTCCATAGCCCCTTATGCTTCTCTGGCTCGTTTGCATCTTTTCAATCCTTGACTAAATCTTTGAGTCTGTTTATTAAACAAGATGTCCAAAAAAGTCTTTATGCTGACCAATGCAGTATTTTTACTGGATCCTGGTATGACCTGTGGCATCATAATTCCTTCTGTTACTCAATCACCATTGCCAGCTAGCACCATCTCTCCTTACCCTCTACAAAAACATGGAGTGATCTTTACCTTTTTTCCTGTCAGGACATGTGTGTGAGCTGTGGCAGTTTCGGTCAGGGTCCCGAGGGAAGGCTACTGACCTGCTCACAGTGCGGCCAGTGCTACCATCCCTACTGCGTGAACATCAAGGTACATTCAAGACTGGTGCAACATCTTGCTGTTGAACCAAAAAGGGCGGAGATCTTGTTCAAACGTCTAAGTGAAACGAGTGGAGATTATCCCACCAAGAACGGAGCTTTCCCACTGTCTTTGAGTTCTGTGAAATTTCAGTTCACCCTGGCAAAGGGCTTCGTTATGATAGCCCTTAATGGCTGTCACCCTTGCAAATCATGCCCTATTGAAAAATGGCCTGCCTTGAGCACAGACTATAAGAAAAATATTGTGGGCCACCTAACCTGTCCTGGAAAAATCGACTGTAGTGTTCGCAGATCATGAAATTTGGTGTTGAAATGGCTTCAGACATCAGCGGACAGACTCCTCAAGGTATAAATAACATGCAGTGCAGTGTTACTTGGGCAGATATAGATAGGCACCCACTTCCCATCAGTTTAATGTAAGCCTCTTGATGACTTGATTTTTCTTGCACACAGTGGCCCCAGATGTTAGGTAGGGGTGGCTCCAGAGTTGTTTCAATTAACTCTCCTGAGCGGTCCAGTGCCCGTTTTTAACGGTTTAGAGCCCCTGCCGACATAAAGAATGCTCTCGCTGTGACTGTTAATAGAACTTTATATAGTGACGCTTTGACTGTTAGTGATTGATAAGCTGTGTCTACCAGACGGTTTGTGGTTGGCCTATCTATAAAGTAGAGCAGAGGAGAGGGAATCTTATTTCTATGTGACGGTCTACGAGCAGGGGAGGGTGAAAAGGTGATGTTTGGGCATTTGGTCAGGTGTTGATGATTCACACGTTTTGGGTGTTGTGTCCCCCTCCCCCCCACAGATCACCAAGGTGGTGCTGTCCAAGGGATGGCGCTGCCTGGACTGCACCGTCTGCGAGGGCTGTGGCAAGGCCAGTGACGAGGCGCGGCTCCTGCTGTGCGACGACTGCGACATCAGCTACCACACCTACTGCCTGGATCCGCCCCTACTCAACGTGCCCAAGGGAGGCTGGAAGTGTAAATGGTAAGTGACTTGAGTTCAGTACCCACTCCAACCCTAGCTGTTCTGAAGCCGTCGCAAAATTGTTCACGTACCCTGGGTTTTAAGTGTTGTTGAGTTCTTAGAGGTGTTATGTCCTGTTCTAGTTGTCAGAGTTGCTTGGGTGTAACTGTCACCTGCTTCGATGAAATGAAAGTAAAGTCATGAAAAATCACTCGTTTACAATGTTGGAGGAAGGAAAAAGCTGCTTTCTTACGGTATACACAACTTCTGGTATTAATAAGTGATTTTTGGTCTGGGAACTGCTTTTAGAAACCTGTGGATTTAAATGAGTTCAGTCAACACATCTGTGTCTTTTTAAAAAGATGCAGCAGCACCTGAAATCTCCTTATGACAAATTTATGCCCATTCTGAATTGATTTCCCTTGCCTTATAAAATCCGGTTGAAGTGTTTTTTTAGCCTCAAGCAATGAATCGTTCAGAATTTGTATGCATTCAAAACTACAATTCATAAGTTCAAAAGGTGTACGTGATGAAGCAAAATTAGCTCATTTAGCATCCCCCTGGTGTAGGTCTCCATCATTTGTATTAACCACTTGCTGCCTTGGAGCCCAGTTTCAGGTATGGTTTCTTTATACGCAATGCCAGGCTTCCCGAAATTGTACAAAAAGAGCTGGGCCTTGTATCAAAAAACTGTACTCGGAACCAAAGACCGGGCTGCTGGGAATTGCCAACCAATTTTTCAGTTGTCAATAGCGGAGGAAATCTGTCGCTGTTTTGAAAGATTATATATTAGCTGCATGCTAATCTGGCCCCTATTGAAAAGAAGCCAGCAGTGCACTGTTGTGCCAGTTTCGGGAACAAAAGAAAATTACATAGCCCCGCAAAATCTGGGCTCTTTTTACAAGGCTGCAGGCCTGGCTTAAATACTATGACGTCAGCAGATGTCTGTCTGATTAGAGTTGCCACCAGACAGTCACTCAACGGGATTTAGGCGTTCAGGAAAAAAGATATGAATTTTTGAAGATTTCTGAAAAATCGCCCGGCATTAGACACTGCATTTTCAAAAGGCACTGGCAGGAAGTGGTGAAATAGCCCAGTTCCAAAAACCCCCTTGATGAAGCATCAAGTGTGTGACATTGTTCCCAGTTCCAACAGAGTGTCTCTCCTGTTTCTTCTTTTGTGAAGGTGTGTCTGTTGCCTGCAGTGTGGGGCCTCCTCTCCTGGCACTCAGTGCGAGTGGATGAACAACTACACGCAGTGCGGCCCCTGTGCCAGCCTCAACCAGTGCCCCGTCTGCCTGCTGTTGTACACCGACGGCGACCTCATCTGCCACTGCTCGCACTGTGACAGGTAGGAGCGGCGCTTGTTGGCCGTCGGTTTGTTGTCTGTCGGGGGTTTCGATAAATGGTGCAGATGGGAATGAGTGGGTCTGAGTAATGTACATGTACTTGCTTTGCACACTGTGATCCATCTTTCAGAAAAATGCATGGTTCTCAATGCGGAAATCAGTTGAATTGTTTGTTTGCCCAAAGCTACATTTATCAAAGGAAAGTTTCTTCCTCTTTGATGTGCAGTCGATCCTTAGGTCATTTCAACTCTGGGGGGGAGATTGGGAGAACACGGTTTTTAAGTGCATCATGTGAGGTGTCCAGGGCCGATCATACACAGTCCAATTTCACCTTTTCAGGTTGGAACAAATAATGTTTGTACAGAGTATCTAGCCTAACCACACAACATCCTTTTTTTATGTCCTCTGTGTAGCACTGTCTTTCAATTCATGTGTTTGGCACAGTTGACTAAGAATCTGCTGCTTTCTTTCCCTTGCATTTGCTAATGACAGAAACATTCTCCTTTACTGCAGATCTTTATTCAAAGGCAGCTTTGATACTGTACTTCAGTGATTTCTTTAATTTCGGTTTGCCTGACCCTTGTGAAGATCCAAATGAGCCAGATCAGATCAGATTGAAAAAAAAACAAACCAAAGGACTTGGGAACAAAGTACTTGCACGATTCCATAATAGGACCGTGCTGATAAGCAGACCTCGCATGCCCATCCAAATGACCTTAGACACGCTTCAATTTAGGCATGTGCTGTTGGAAGACCAGACTGGCTCATTGGACAATAAATACATGTAGGCCTGACATGACTAAATTGAAGCTCAAAAAAAAAAAAAAAATCGGGAATCCTGACAGTTGTCCGTCCTTGTGTGCAGATGGTTACACGGGGAGTGTGATGGCCTGACCACGGAGGACGAGGTGGAAAAGACGGTGGACAAGGGCTACGTCTGTCTGCTGTGCCGTCCCCACACCAAGCCCGCGGAGCCCAGCCCTGTCACCGAGAACATCCAGCCGGTTATCCCCGTCACCAAGCCAACTGAAATCGGTAGGTGGCAGTGGGCTCAGAAACGGGAAGGGGCAAGGTTGCTTAAGTTTGCTGACTCAGTGTGGGGAAAAGAGAAGGGAGTTACTTCTAGAATTGCGACAGGGTTCAGGAAAATTTGGCCAAAGTGTAAGAGTATTACTGAAAAATGAGGGTGACCATGGGAAAGCCATAGAACTTTCAATTTTCAAAGTTAACATATTTTCATGGAGTGATCAGAGTTAAACTACGCATCTTTATCACACAAGTCTTTCACTCTTCTTCTGTCTATCGTATCTGGGGATGGTTTTTTTCGGTTGTTTCTCTCATTTGGCCGTAATGGTTTTCTTTGACCCTACCTTAGCATCTTTTCACCGCACCTTCTCTGTCATAACATTGTGCTTACCGTTGCTGTTTTCTGTGTGCTTGTGGATTTCATCCAGTTACAGAAACTTGACTGCATCAAATCATGTATAGTGGTCACATGTTTTTTTGTGCGTATGTGTGCATCTGCCTGGTGCAGAGCAGCTCCCTTTGTAGTAGTGACAAGAGCGCCCCCTAGCTTAATGGAAACTGGGGATGCAAAGTATATGGACACACAGTCCAAGTAAATTACCCATCTCTGCAAACTTAGAACTGCCAAAAAACCATCTGCCATCTTCCTTTGGTTCATGTTGCACCAGAGTATCAGAATTTGTTCTCCCTCCTAAAATTGATCAAAGCAGCCTGCAGGCTACGTTGACTTGGTTCATGTAATTAATGTGTCTGGGACCGAATCGGGCCAGCGTAGCTGAAGTACCTCCTGACAAGTCTCCGGGGGGAGGGCGGGGCAGATGACAGCTGTTCTGTTGGGCAACCCAATAGTTGCAGCAGTGCCCTCCTTGCGAGTCCTGAAGAGGCTCTGATGCACACACATTGCTCGCCCATTCATCTGGGAATTAGGAAGGGGCCACTCATTTTGTAATGCGCAAGCAAGAATTGTCGTGCACCAAGAAATTGTCCGGCGATTACAACAGTGTTTTCTGAGCCACTGCCGAAGAGGAGGCTTGAGTCTTTGCTTCGTGATATTACAATTGCTTATCGGTTTGAGTCAAATGCCTTTGATTTATTTGAGTTTCACTTTCCTTCATCTCATTATCAACCTGACATGATTCTTGTCCTCCATTGCATGTCATTCTCCATTTCTGCATATCACATCCATTTCTTGTCCCCTGTGATTACGCCACTCTTCTTTTGTTGGGAGGTGCCCATATGCAGTACCCATCACATCTTCTTTTCAAGTCATTAACCGCAAAAATGTTCAAGCCTCACTGTGAGTGCAGTCTGTAATCATTTCAAAGTTAACTTAATTTTATTGCAAAAACTTGACAAAGACGACAATGTGTTGTCAAACAGTCTTTCAAAGATTGCACCATAATAATCTGGGTCCTCTCGGTGTTCTCTTTGTTGGCAATGCAGAGTCTGCCCCTACGCAGTTTTCGTTTGAAGGCGTGTCCCTAACCGAGTCGGGATACCGACATTTTACTAGTCTCTCCTCCAAGAAGTCACGCAGCCGGCGTCCCTCGCTTAAAGCCGGTAGCCTGGCCATTCTTAAGAGCCTGGCCGATCCCAACTCAGAGATTTCGGTCTTAGCCGAGGAGTACGGTGGTCGCAACATTCACAAAGGTATAGCTGTTAGCCAGGCTACCAAAATCTGCACCATTTTCAAAGGCTCGGGTTTTTCCTGACAAAAACTGTTTTTTTCTTGGCACTCTCAAGGCTGTCCTGAATGTGGGTTGGGAGAATATCTAATTCATGTGTCAGCTTTTCACATTATCCATCGTGTTTCATCAGATCACATTTTTTATTTTCTTTGCTTGTGACATGTTTTATGGTAATGTCTTCCCAACACTGCTTGTATAAAAAACACTGTGCTTTGGTACTTTGTGGGTGTCGTAAAAAGCCACATTCATGACATGCACACCCGTGTACTGATTTTATAATGCAAGTCAGAAACTTTATTGAGCTTGTGTCATTACGAATGTTGTTAAACAACCAAATTGAAATGTCTGACTTTTGAATGCTCCCTGTGTCATCTGTATCCGCATATATCAACAATCTCCAAACTGGTTTCACCTTCCGACCCTGGCATTGCAGAGTTGAAAGACAAGTACAAGGACCGAGAGAGGTCAGACGGCAAAGAGGGGAAGCATCACCACCACCACCATCATCACCACGATAAAGAGAAGAAGAAAAAGCACAAGGGTATTTACAAGCCAGGTGGGTGGCATCTCTCTCATCAGGGGGGAAGGGGGAGGGGGATAATTTCAGCTGTCGGGGGGAGGGGGACTTAAAACCACTTCATCTATTCCTCCAGCAGTGTACAAGGTGCCTTCAACCTGCAGCCCAGTTGCTTCAGGCCCATGCGTGCTGGGCTAACTCGGCGGGAGTGGAGAAAATGGTGTTGTGAGAGAGGCGTTTGACCTGTCACGACAGAATGGCGTTGATGCAGCTTGTGAAATTTTGTCCCGATTGCGTGATACACAAAACGGATGCAAAATCTGAGACAAAACTCAGTGTGCAACATTCCTTAGGATTGTCTAAGGAGTGTGGCTAAATTACAGATGGTGACACACAAAGTAGGGCTATGGTCTGAAAAAAAAAGTTGTGTAACAAAGAATGTTACGCTTTCTCTCTTTTAGAATTTCAAGTGAGAACCTCCTGATATTTTCAAGTTTTGGCTTCAAAAGTTTGCAAACAGCTTATCTGCTTCAAGTTTATCAGTAGACTGAAGTGTTTGTTTGCCATCGTTTGCTTCCGTACTTAAAATCAGGGGTGGGAGGATTCACCGTGCGACCGGTCAAGTTTGGCTCGTCAAGTCGGGGGGCTTACAGTCGCAGCCTGTCGGAGGGCGCTATTGAGAAGCACCACCAGCCTGACATGTCTGAACCCAGCACTGACGGTATGCGAACATTCAGCCTTTTTCTTATAGAACACCTGGGAAAGAAGCATTTGCTGCACAGATTCTGGGGCAAAAAAGGGGCAATAGATTGCCAGTTGTGTCGTCCAATCATTTTTTGGGGGGGGTTATGGATTTCACGGAAAGATTCCGTGCATGATAAGTTCTTGCAGGCCTTTCTCTCCAGAGATGGTGAAGTTTGTAATCATTTGTTAACAGATGAAATGGAAAGTAACAGTAACGGGTCCCACACTTCTTAACTCTCCTCAAACCACCTGTGGCTTTTGATGTCAGAGGGCTACTCTCCAGCCAGTAAAATCCATGCATAGATAGGGGGTTATAAGACCAGTCCAGTGACCAGAAATAGAAGCTGTTAGTGTGGCAGCACACACTCCCTTGGGGGGCTGTGCTCACGAAATACCTCTTGGATCAGCAGGGCGCTGTGACTTGCTATTAAAATGCATGGGTGGCTCAATTGTGAGAGCATGCTTGTGAGTGTAGTACCATTGCAGTTAAGGTTTCTCTGATGACTTTGATGGATTCAGTGCAGTGTGCATTTGGCCTGTCCTAGGTTATGTAAATACGCCAGTGGTTTGCTGCACACCTTTTGGGATTTGGAGGATTTTTATAAAAGTTCCAGGCTGAAGTTTATTTGCTCTGCTTCTGTGCTGTACACAACAGCCTGTTAGGCTGTCACGGTACAGTGCTTAGTTGTGTTCAAAGTAAGTCTCACACACAGGGAAGATTTCTCAACGTTTTGTACACTCTTTTTAATACAGGGGAACGAAGTGGTTTCATTAGCACCTCAGACCTCCACGGCATTGAAAAGAAGAAGAGACGAAGGAAGAAGAAGCCTAACTTACAGAACAGCTTCCCCTCATATCTTCAGGTAAACACAACCGTAAACTTCCCCTTTTTAGTGCCAAGAATTTGAAACTGGGAGTATTCTGCATTGGATATGATCACAGTGGATGGAGTTTTAGTACCTCGCATTGAGAGCTAACAGTGTGGAGTTTTTGGAGTACATCCGAATTATATGCACAGTGTAAGTTGCATGCAAGCTCGTGAGGGTCCCCCGTGGTAGCGGAGAATCCTGGAAAACTCCTTGGGGGAAAAAGTTGTCCCGAATAGTCCTGGAAAAGTCATTGGATATCAAGATCATGCCAGGGTTACCTTTTTACGGTTGACTTTTGATGAGACAACAGAGCAATAATAAATATACAACGTGATCCTTGTCAGTGTAGAATAGTAGCTACAGCAGTCTAGCAGTTCACACTACCAAACAATTTTTCTCTGTAACATTTTAGTCCTGGAGAGTCCTGGGAAAAGTCCTTGAATTTGGTTTTCAGATTTCTGTGTTCACTCGTAAACATTAAAAATTGGATTACTCGATGTGTTTTTTTTTTGTCTTTTGCTTTCGGCAAAACCAGGAGGCCTTTTTTGGCAAGAGCTTGCTGGACTCCAGCAAGAGCAAAGAGGGGCTGGAGATCTCGGATGAGGAGAGCCGACCGCCAGTCAGCAAGGAGCCCGAGAAGCCAAACTCCCACAGCAAGGCCTCACCCACCAAGACGGCCCGCCGGGCCTCCGAAGCTACACCGCAGACCGGCCAGCCCAGCCAGCAGAATGCCTCAGGCACTGGTGCCGTGGTGAGTTTGTTGTCTTGTATAGTGACAGGAAGAAATTCTCTGCTCCTGGCGTTATTTGTAAGAAACTAATGGGGTCCTATTTGGAATAACTTGTTCACTGAAGGGCTTTAGTGACTAGTTGTAGCCTGTGTGAGTGCAAATGCTATGGGAATCACTCAGGCATGGAGGTTGAGTTACCAGCATTGCACTCACATGTTATGACTCATGGAGTCCCTGTGTGTTTACATGTCATCCTGTATGAAGTGGTTTAACCCCTTCTCGACGGGAATTTCTTTCTGAAAGCCGACTCCAAGAATTCCAGCCTCGCTTGGCCACAAAGGCCACCTGCCAAGAGCCAGGATCTGCCTTCTTTCACCGTGTTCACTCGAGCGTGGACCCAGAATAATAGCTGTAAAGCGGGCTGAGGATCTCAATTTTTACGGCGTGTTTTAACGCGTCCCGGCGTGAAGGGGTTGAGGGTTTTACCAGATACTCAAAATGTGAGCTGTTGAGCATCCTAAAGACAATATTTTGGCAGCAAATATGTCCACTCATTTAGATATTTTGGGAATAACCAAATTCTTGATTGGATCGATCCAAGTGGAAGGTCAGTCCTATATGTAAATCTTGTTTGACTCTTCTCCCTCCCCCCCCGTCAGTCCCAACCGCATGTTGATGGAGGCGACCTTGGAACGGGAGACGACCCGCTCAACTTCCTACCCCAGGAAGAGTTGCTGGGCATCATCCTCGGAGACGGACTTGGGAAAAACGGAGAAAGTGAGTTTGGTTTGGTTTTTTCTCTCTAGTATTTTTTAAAGTGAGGTCTGTTGTGCTAAGTGTTGCAACAACAAAGGCAAACTTAGTTGAAACGAATCGCTTCTCATGCGCATGGTTCCTGTAGACAAGATACGGGGGCATAATTTCTCAGGATATTTCAACATTTCAGACATTTTGACCCCCAAACGGTTAATTTTTTAAAGTTTGAATCACTCATGTTTCGCTACATTTTAGTACTTGGGCGTATATGATGGAACTTTTGTCATGGAAGTGGCTAAAAAATCACAGTATTTTATCATATGTGTATATGTTGGTGTATGTAAAGTCATATTAAAATTGGAGAATTCAGGACTGTCAGAGTTAATGTTATAACCTTGCTGCTAGATTTTGGTTGGGCTTTCTTTATCCCCACTTTCACCCCTGACTACATTGCCATATATTTTTTTTAGGTCTCGATATAGACTCCATTGAAGAACCTGCCCAGCCGTCTGGGGACCACAGCGAAGGCGCACAGCCCTCCAGCAGCAATGCAGAGCTGGATTCCATTCTCAATTACAACTTGGGCCACATGGTCCCGGATGGTGAGTACTCGAGGTTGGGCTTGGTCCATGTTTCCAACTCTGGCCACTCGGTCCCAGGGTTGAATTCTGTTCGTGTTCCCAAGGTGGGCCATATTTGGCCATGTGGTAAACACCCAGGGTTGTTTTCAACTTGGTCCACTTGGTCCTTCAAAGTGAATAATCGAGGACGGATTTTGGCTTTGTTTCTTCCTGAGGCTGCATCATCTCTGGGGGCACGTACCCCTTATCAAAAGGATTGCTGTTATTACTTGCATTTCTTTGAAAGGTTAAGTTTAGTTAAGATAGATCATTACTTGACTTTAGGGATATCACATCTCTCACATTTACTGGATTTCTAGCTGGGCGTATGTTCTCCCCAGTTGACTTGACGCCTCCCATATTTTTTTTCTTCCACATTGCAGATCTTGCCCACATTGACAGCAAAGAGGTGGAGGACCTGTTCTCTGGCGTGCTGAGTCCCACCGAGCACGGCACGACAATGGCCACACAGTCAGCCATGACGGCATCCATGGCCGGTAAGTCCAACCCAGGGAATCGCCCGCAGGTCGCTGCAGCAGCACGCTGTTCTTGTTGGTCTGTTGATGTCTTTGGACCGTTTGCCTGATCCCTTTACATAGTTCAATAAAAATGCTGTTTGGACCAGTGAGATTGCTCACTCTCGAACAAGGTCCCCAATTTTTTAACCTTTACCTGACCTTGGCTAATAACCCTGGTACTACACTTCAAGATGCAATTCTTTATGTTTGACGTGTTTGTGTATACTGAGTCCAGTTTAAGTATTCAATACAAAATATTAAAAGGAGTATTTTGTTGTATGTGGTTGTAGTTTGTGGTGTGAAGTTCATGCCTAGGCCTGTCGGTTTAACAAAAGCCTCCCACTTCTGCATCTGTGAACTGTGGAAGGAATTGAAGACTTTTGAGCTAAACCCAACTTTATTATTCCCCCCACAGAATATCTGAGGTTTGGATTTTTAGAACCAGAGAAGGGGAAGTTTTGAAGTGTAGTGTTCTTGCAGTGTGGTCTAAACGCCTAATTTTTCCTTTGCAGGTTCAGATGGGGTCATGGGTCCTCCATCGGGTCATCTCATGCCCCACCAAGCCAGGCGGGTACCAACTAGCCTGCCGGTGCCCCTGCTTCCATCGCAGAGCACCACACAGCCCGGTATATCGAGGTGAGCAGGCTTTTTTTATTCATGAAGTTGCCAACCACCCCTGCATCTATTCAGAATGTTTTTTAACTGGCGCAGCAGACCGTGTGATATTATACTCTATAGCCGTGATGCGTGACTGCAGACTGGCACTAAATTACGGAAAGTCAAGTTTCCCAGTACGGTTTGTTTGACGAGTCATTTTGAAAAAGCGAAATCCTCTTGAGTGATCTCAGCTCACCATTTCCCAGGTTGCATGGGGAGGGGGCATTCACCGCTCGCACTCATGAGTTGTCTGTTTCCTCTGTCAGTCCACCGTTCAGCCCCGACTTTGCGGAGCCTCCCAGCCCTTGGCAGGGTGGGGCCGGAGGGGATGGAGAGGGGGAGACCCTGTCCTATAACCAGCGCAACATCAAGAAGTGGGAGAAGGACGAGCCTCTTGGACCCCTGGCTACCATTTCCCCGGTGCTCTACGCCAACCTTAACTTCCCGGATCTCAAGAAGGAGTACCCAGGTAAGGGGGGGGGGATCGTGGTGATGCCTTAGCAGACAATACTGATACCTACATACTGACTGGATGGTGCCTACCCGAATGGAGCCTCGGTGACTTGATTTTTTGGCCTTGTAAGATGGCTGTGACCATACTCCGTGCAGCGCAGTGCATTTCTCATGATGGTAATTTTCCAAGCTTGTGTGCATCATCTTGATAGCTAAGTAATTGATGGGGTAAAGATATAGGTTTTATTTAACTGCCTCAGACTTAAATGCAATTAACTAAGTGCATATTATAAATGGTCTACAAGAGTTTGGACACAGTAGCCCACTTTGATTACGATTTTGAGTCTTCCGGTGAGACTTGATGAAATGCATGAGTACATTTGGATCTCCGTAGATGCTACCTAGTGGTGTCCAACACTGTGTAGTACACTGTGAGTACATTGGGTCTCCGTAGATGCTACCTAGTGGTGTCCAACACTGTCTTAGCTTGCTGTTCAGTCAGTATATTGACATCAGCAGTGGACATGGTCCTCTGTTGAGAGAGGGTTTATGTGTCCCCAACAAGACACCGCTGTAGTAGTATTTCCATAGGTTGTTAGAGGGAAGTCTCGTTACCAGTTTGCTTGGATGATTACTAAAATTTGCTGTATTCAGATATGAATGTTAGAAGTTTGCTGGGTATGAACTCTTTTGCTTTCCTGGATGAGTAGACTGGGCGTGTAGCTTGTACTTGGTCAAGTTCTTTTGACCCAGTTGTTAGCTCATGCTCAGAGCCAAAACTAGCAACATTCCAGAGGTTGGTTGAAAGAAACTCTTCCTTTCATGTGAATGTTTACAATGGACGAGCTGTAATAGGAATATGTTTGGGGATTTTCCTTTCTTTTCTTGGCATGGCATGGTGCATAACAGACTGGCCATCGCGAGCGAAGCAGATCGCCAAACTCTGGCGGCGGGTGTCAGCCACAGACAGGCAGCCGTACTTGGTGAGTCGTTTTTGTCATCGTTTGCAAACCTCTCGTGAGTAGATGAAGTGGTCTCACTTCACTACAGTGGCTGAACCTCAAGCACGCCCTCACTAACCGCTACAGTCTACCACTGCATCAGTGTCAGAATTAGTGTATTTAGTCATCACATCCAACAGTTCCCGGCGGAAATGTAACCCATTCCTCATTGATTTGGTTTGATAACAAGCCTAATCCGTTTAGAGAGAGTTGATTTATAAAAAAACTGTATGGTTTGCGCACTGTGCCTCCAAATGTTTTAACAGTTCTTTTGCATTTGTTTTGCTGCACATATGCACACGTCAATGTAATATGCTATCTGTGTCGCCACATTTTGGACTGTCATAAAAGTTTCTACAAAAAAAAAAACCAAACAGTTCAAAATTTCTTTTATTTCTTTTTAGCTATTTATTTTTTGGATCTCTTTTATTGATCAGCACCGCGTATTTGAGGCAACCCTTGAAGTTGCTTTTGGTTTCTTTGAAGCGTCACTTATTGATTGATTGATTGACTGATTGCAGTGAGTGTGTGCACTGGCAAAGATGGACTGTTGCAGTGCTAGGAAATGTCTGCTCACAGAAAACAATTCGGTTTAAATGAAAGTGTAACTATGGCTATACTCAAATATGACATGCTATCTGATATCAAGTCACCTAACCCATCTACAAAGAACTACAGTTCTTCTGTTAAGGGAAGGATTTTTCAAAGCTTAATTTTTGTAGCAAGAGTACTGGCAAGCCAAGCGTGAAAGGAATGAATCTTTTTTTTTCCTTTTTGATGAACTTGTGGAAGCTGCTCAACTGAAAGATGAAAACATAAACCCCAAATGGCCCTTCTGCTAGAGTGTTTGTTTTTGATTTTTCCTTTTTGAACGTTGCACTTTCTTGCGTGAGATTTGTTGACCGCACCGCATGTCCATCTTTACAAACGCTTTGCATGTTGCCTGTCTTGTTGTTACAGCAAAGAGCCAGAGAGAACCGGGCCACCCAACGACTCAAGGATGCGCAGAAGGTAGGTTCCGATTATCCTTGGCCCCACAAAATAACAGTGTCACGGGACCCGTGCCAGTCCGTGCCCAAATTTCAAGGCGTCTAATTGCCAGTATTTGGATAGTTCTGGAAAAGTGTTCCCGTTGAAAGAAAAAGAGTTTGTGTGGATGTGCCAATACGATGCATGTTTCCAAAGTGACCTTTTACACATTGGGTGAATTTTGCCAGAAAGTGTCCCAAATCCTACAGAATCCAATGGTGCAGTAGGCTAATGGCAGATTGGACTTCCAACCAATTGTAGACATTGTGCCCGCACGTAGTGTAATGGTCTTTCAACTGCACAGTCCTCAGTGCTTTCCAGTCTCGCAAAAAGCAGCTGCAGCACCCAATTTCATAGAGCTGCAAAGCTGAATATGTTGTTTAGGAAGTCTTTGTGCTGAGTAAAATAAATTGGCGGACTACCAGTCACAAGACATACATATTGTGTGACTTGCCGGTTACCTTCTTTTTGCTGAGCAAATACTTTCTTTGCTAAGCAAAACCCCGTACTTAGCAAATGTGTGGCGTGGGGCCCCATCTCAGGTAATGGATTTTGTAGGAGGTGGGAAACTGCGAAACAAAAACGTAAAACAAACTTAGCTTTTTCTTGATATTGTCAGCCTTGACAGATTTCTATTTAAGACGTATTGGTAGTTGTTTGATTTCTTGGTATTTTTCAAAAGACTCAGAAAGAACAAAAACAGAAAAAGCATTCTCATGCACAACCCCACTTTCTTTGCAAGGATATGATATCCAGAAATCTGTGAAAAAAAGTTAATGCAGCAACAAACTGATGAAGCCTCCCTCAAAATGGGTTGGACGTTCAAAATGTACATGCACTTATGATGGTTATTTACATTGTGTTAATATGGTCCTTTAAAAATGACAAGGTGTGTTGTTGACTTGAACTTCATCAGATGAAAGAAAATTTGTGGGTTGTTTGGTAGAAAATGTGAGGAAAAAAGTATTTTTATGTAAATTGTGTATTTTTTTTCCTACTTGTGCTCATAAATGGATCACTCAAATTAGGGAATTTGGAGGGGACTATTATTGATTTTTATTTACTTTGGCTCTAGTCCTCATTTGTCAAAGCAAGGCATTCTGAACGTTTCACATATTCAGAATTTTCCAGTCCCACTGATGCCATGATATCTTTCTGTCATGTCAGTTGCCTGAGCCTTCAGTATTCAAAAGGCCTCGTCTGAAGTGTTGCATTTGTTTGACATATCAGATAACCTTCAACCAATAACAGTGCAGTGTTGCTAGGAACAGCCCAGTGCATGTTGCATGTTGCATGATAAGTTCATTGTGTGATTGTCAGTGTTAGGAAACTTTGCCATGCCGTTCGTATCTTCAAATCCGGAAGCAGTAAAAAGTACCAGTTGGAACACGTAATGTGTGTTCTGCTGTGTAAATTCAAATGAACTTGATATGTTTTATTTGCAGCTGCTGTTAGTCACATGATAAATGCTGATGTTACCCAAGGCCGTAAAAGAAGGAAATCAACTAAATTGTTAAAAGTTTTGGAAGAGAGACTAGGAAAGGCAGTCTCTTTTCATGTCACAATAGTCTTTTGTGCTTGTGAAAGTAAATGAAGTCATTGGTGGAATAACTAGCCACGAGCCAATTAGTAGTCAAACATTTTTGTCAGAGTAATAACCTGGTTGTGTTACAGAAATATACTGGAGTCACAAAAAGACAAGAAATGGTAGGAGGCTAAAGAACCTGTTTAAAAGCTGAATGCACGCAGTCATTAATGACAGCATGCTTCAAGTTTACGCACACAACCTGTTTAGCACCCCCATGAGCAGTAATGAAAATATTAAAATTTGAGACATTTCCATGCTGTAGAAAAAATCGCAGTTATAAATATATAACTAAATTTCAGCCGAAGCAAAAAAGAAGTTTGGATATTTTGGTATTTGATATGGGTAATTTACAAGGTGTATTGTAAATAACAAAATTTACAAAGAAAGAATTGAAAGCAAAGAAATGTTTTTTTTTTCCTCTTTTGTGCTGATTAACAGCTGAGCGAGGGCATCCAGAGGAAGCGTGCCGAAGCTGCTCTGCAGGCGGGTCAAAGTTCAGACACGGCCACTGTGGGGCCCCTGGAGGGCCACAGTCCTCACCCTGCAGGGGCCAAGGAGGTCATGGAGGCCGGCCAGCAGGCCATGTCAATCAGCTCCCCGAAAGGTTAGAGATTCTGAAGCTTTGGTCATTTGTCCATGATAACCTTAAAGCAGAGCTCTGAAGTCAGTTGATAGGAGCCCAGTTGATGAAGGCTTCTCAGATGCACATTTTGTGGACTTCATGTCCTTCATTGGTATATGAAAACAGTCTCACAGTTTTTTTTTAGTTTATTGTATTGAAGAGAGCATTTTAGTTTTAAAAACAATGGTACTACATAGACCCTTAAAGTAACACAGTTACCACCCTTTTGAAACCGTTTAGCTAAATAGATATGAAAGTCCACATATAGCCATGCTAGTGATAGTGTGTGGGTCCTAACCTTACCCTCCCTCATGTTTCAAAATCAGCACTAGAGGATTGAAGAGTAGGATTGAGATCCAAACAGGAGATACAGATTGCAGCGAAACATTAGCTGCTTGCCCCCAGTGTGACCTTGCTAAGGACTGTAGGGTTTGAAAGGAATTTTAAGCATTTCCTATAAAGTATTACTGCCAGAGGTTTTGCTGTATGCGTGCTTTTGTGCTAATTTAAAGCAGTGAGGAGACTCCTGAGGGTAGTAGATCTGGAGGGTTACTTTGGCATCTTTATAAGAGCTTATCACATAACTGATGTCACATGGGGCAAAAAGGCTTGAAAAGTGTGCAAAGTAGTATTTAAATACCTAGGAATCTTTAGCTGGTTCATTGAGGCCCTTTTGGTAACAAAATTGTGAAAATTTGTAAAAGCAAATCCCTACCATACTAAAGAGTGCTTTTCCACAAAAAAACAGTTTTCCCACTGAAGCAAGATACTTCTGGAATTTTCTGTGTTTGCCGTGAAGGTTCTGACTTTGCTGCAAGTGGCTGCCTGTAGCATTATATTTTACCATGCTTTATTACTTGAGAGCTTACAAGGTTTTGGCTTTTCAGAAGGGCTGAAGTAATATTTTGGGGATTTTTGGTGTCTTTCCCAGGTATGGCCCAGCCTGGCCCCATGGCCAGTGTGGATGTACGAGGCCCATCTACCCCAAGCCATAACCAATCGGCCCACAGCAACCTGCATCTTCAGATGCCCTCCCCGATGAGTGCAGCAAACTCCATTGGACCCACGACTCCAATCGCACCGGGCACCCCTCTTGCCCCCAGCACCCCACTGGGTCCGAGCACGCCGCTGGGTCCCAGCACCCCTCTGGGGCCCAGCACGCCTTTGGGACCCACCACCCCACTGGGTCATGCACAGAACATGGAACCGTCCATGGGACCGGGCACGCCCATTGGACCCACCACTCCCATCGGACTGACCGGACCACCGACTCCTGCTGGTCCCACCACACCTCTGGGGATGCCAAAGCCCATGGGACAGGCAACACCCATCGGCCCAGCAAGTGATAGCAGTCTGACGGGAAGCCAGGATGGCCGCTTCAGTGTTCCCCATTCTCCGCAGAGTGGGGTTCCGTCGAACATACCCCAGCAGCAACGACCACAGCTGAACAAGACCAGCCCTATTTCTCCCATGATCCACAGTCCCAACCCACTTGGAGGGCCCATGACATCGGCCACAGGAGGACACAGTGATACCATGGGAGTAAACCAGGGACCTGCTTTCAGCATGGCCATGAGTGTCAGACCAGGCACCCCTGGGGATCACAGCATGCAGAGGGGGAACTTCCCCATGCAACCGACGCAGCCATTTTTCCCCTCAGGAGGAGCCCAGTTCCGTCACAGCAGCCCTGGTGGATCGACACAGATCCTCACTGGAAGCATGCCTGACCAGAACCGAGCTTCGGATGGCGAGAAGATGACTCACCGCCAGCATCTCAGAGAGCTGCTGTTCAAAAAGCGCAGAGAGGCCCAACTACAGCAACAGCAGTGGTTTGGTGACGACTCTCAAAGACCTCCACCACCTTACCCAGGGGGCAGCCAGTTCAGCGTCGGACCCAACACCGGTGACCAGCAACAGTCTGCGCCAGAGAGTAACACCCACAGTGGCTTCTCCAGTCCAAGGGCTTCCATTCCCGGCAATAACAGAATGAGCATGGAGGAAGCTGCAAGACCAAGATTTCCCTTTGGATCCTCTCAGGGTTCCACTGATGGACTCCCCAATCCTGGAGAATTTATACCCTCACCATCTTGGAGAGGTCCAACCCCGGCTCCCTCCCCATCCTCAGGCCCAAGAATGGAACGGCCAGCTGGACAGTTTATTGAGCTCAAGCATCATGAGTCAGGGGGTATGATGAGAGGTAACAGGACACGTGCGATGAGCATCGCTCTCCTGCAAGAGAAACTCCATCAACGCAGTGCTATGCAACAACAGCAGCAACAGCAGCAACAACAGCAGCAACAGCAGCAGCAACAACAGAGACCCTTTCCACAAAACATGAGCGGTCACCCCAACCCGCTGGACCCTTACGATCACCTGGTACGAATGTCACAGTCAGGACAGCCTGTCAGGCACATCAACCCAAGTCAGGTCAGCCCAGTTGCAGTGGGCCCTGATGGAACCGTGCCGGTGCCTTCCAGCATGGGTCTTCAGTCACCAGGTCACTTCCCAGCAGAGCACCAGCCGCAGGTGCCCTTCTCCGACATGGGAGGGCGTAGCTTGTCCCATCCAGGGCCACAGCAGCCGCATACAAGTCAGCCGAATTTTCAAGAGATTCAGAACACAGCCGGCTTCCATCCAGTCCCTGTCCCAGGGGGTCCTGGCTACCAAGGTCCACCGCAGCAGGGAATGACAGAGCCACAGCGGGAGGAACATGACCAGCAGCTGGAAGATCTCTTCAACGGAGACTTTAACATTCTAGAGTATGCAGACCCTGATCTGGACACAAACAAACACTCTGCCGAGAACCAGCAACTGTTCAAAGATCTGGGCCTGTATGACCACCAGGAGAGCAAACAGTCTTCTGAGGACAAAGCAAGTGGCTCCGGTTCCTCAGTAACAAGACAGCAGGTTTCGCAGGCCAGCAAATCAGAGAGCAAAAGTGATGAGCCACCAAAGGAAACCCCTGGCCTTGAAAGAAGTCTCCCTTCAAGTGAAAGTACAACTCAATCTGTTACCAGAGCCAGCACCACTGACAAGCAGGACAAGCCACCAGTTACCACAGAAGACTCCCAGCAAAAAGGCGATTCAACAGCATCACTCAGTGAGATTTCCCAAGGAAAACCAGTTCAGGGTGAAGTAACCCTGACAACCATTGTCCCTCTTGTCTCTGCAGACATTCAGCAGTCCGAAAGTGGCAGTGCTCCACATCAACAGGCTCCAGTCCCCTCTGCGAGTGCTGACTTAGATAGCAACATCCAGAAATCACCTGCTGACAGACCTGTGCAGAGTGACGTTCAGAAAGCAGATAGTAAACCTGAAGTCATAGCTGCCCCTGGATCAGCCAAAGATAAAGCTTCAGAAAAAGCTGCAAAAGACACCACCTCAGCTGCAGAGTCTGGATGTGCTGTTCAAATCAAGACAGAGCCGGGCCTAGAAGCATCTAAGAAAGGAGAGCATTGTGTGGAGAAAGCAGATGGTACAAGCGTGGAATCTACAAAAGAGGTTCAAGGACAAAACAAGGACAAGCCAGATGCTAGTACTCAAGTTTCTGGTGAGGATCCGGATCACAAGGACAGTAAAGAAGGTGATCCTAATAAACGCACTACTCCTAAAGATGCGACCTGTGGAGCAGAGTTACTGAAGCCAGAAGCCCTCTCAAATAACACCACATCACCTAGACCTGCGACCAGTGCTGCTGACACAAGTGCTGAGCCAAGCCAACCTGCCAAAGCCCACAACTCACCTATCACCTCAATTGAAATTGGCAGTGCACAAAAGGTGTCAGATAGTCCAGCTACCTCTACCAGTGTGACACCAAACCCCGGGGTCAGCCGGTCACCCGCAAGCCAGGCCCCTAGTAGTGCTACCCCCTCATCTCAAATGCTATCAGCGCCACCCCACTTGACAGAGCCTGTAAACAGACATGCTGCATCTCAGCCGACTGGTCTCAGTCCCACATCAACTCAAACCACTGTGGTGCCAAGCAGTGGACAGTTGGTCTCCAGCTCGCCGTCGGTGGGCCAAGCACCACACCAGCCAGATCCCACGCTGTCAGTGTCTGCAGCTACAGTGCCGTCTACCTCTGCCCCTAATGTGCCAGCAGCATCGGGAGGGTTCGAGGAACCTGCGGGAGCCGGTAGCCAGGAGGCAGCCAAGAGGAGGCCGTTGCTTCTTCAGGACCAGCCTCTCCTCCTTCAGGATCTTCTTGAGAAGGAGAAAATGGAGTTGAAACAGCAGGGTCCAACTTCCACTGCCCCAACAACCCCCGTGCCGACGTCCATGGATGGGACGGCTTTGCCTAGCAACAGACCAGCGAGTGGCCTAGCTTTGATTCATGGTCCAACTGCAGGACCAGCCCCAGAGGGAAAAGCAGTCAAACTTCCTACACCCACAGACCCATTTTTGGGTGACTTGGAGAAAATTCAGGAGGAGGCCAAGATGTATGCCAAAGGTAAGATACCATTTCTCAATCATAGCAGAATTTGATGACTTATTCCTGATGAAATGAAACATGAAATTGTTAGCATGAAGGTCCAATTCTAGTTTTAACTTGGGTATCTGAACATTTCCTTGTCAGTGTTGTTTGCATTGTGGCACAGACATTTAAAAAACACAGTTATTCTTTTTTTTCTTTTTAATGCTGTTCATGTTTATGAATAAGTTTATGTTTCTATTTCAGTAATGCGGTTTTCTTCATTACAAAATAAGTTGATTATATATTCCTGAAAAAATTCTAGTGGCTTCTCCCTTCAGTACCAACATGTTTCACACACAGTGTTGAAGTTGAAATAACTTGGGATCTGAAATGGGGAATGTTTTGAAAGGAGATATTAATTTAAAACTAAACTTTTAAGGTTGGCTTGCCTCATTTTTGGTTGATTGCAGAAATTGAAGATTTTGCCAACAAGCCGCCTGGGCCTCATGCCCAGTTGCTGCTAGCCATGAACCGTCAACACCAAGAACAACTGCAGCTCCAGCAACGACAGCAGCAGGCACAGCAGCAGGCACAGCAGCAAGCTCAGCAGCAAGCTCAGCAGCAGCAGGTTCTGGCTGAAGGGCCTGCCCAACAGCAAGGAACCAGGAGACCCCCGGATTTTGGCAGCATCGACCCCTTCCGTGGGCCAATGCGCCGTTCCCTTAGTATGGGCGATGCCCAGCGGCCACCCACCTCAGGGATGCCTCACATAGGTGATGGATTAATTCCCCATCCCCAAGGATTTGGAGGGGTCCCTCAGCGGTACAACAGCATGCATGCTGCCCAGTCCCCCTCCCCTGGAGTGCAGAGTCCTGTCGGAATCAGACCTCCTCTCATGAGCCCAGACATGGGTTCCATTACCAGCACTCAGATGGGAAACTCTGGCAACCAGATGTTCAGCATAGCTCCACGGGGGCACATTCCGAGTCCAAGTCTGTCGCCCAACCTCACAGGGCTCGGTCCACGTGGTCTGGCCCCCAGCCCGGGCGTCAGCATACCAATGCACATGACAAGTCCGAGTTCTCGGATGCCCTCACCGTTGGCCAGCCCAGTGCCTCGCGTGCCTGGCCCCGTGGTTAGTCCTGGACCCAGGATGCCAGGACCAATCATGAGCCCTGGCAACAGGATGCAAGGTCAGATGCCTGGGCCTGTGGGAATGAGGATGCCCGTCCGAATGTCGGGAATGCAGTCGCCAGTGTTCGGAATGCCCCAGGTCCATGGCATGCCAATGCAGCAGGGCCATGAGCAACCCATGCCTGGGTTTGATCCTTGGGAGTATCATGAGGAAACGCCACCAGATTCGCACAATGTCCCCGAGTATGAAGAGTGGATGATGCGACGGGAGCAGTACCTCCAGATTCGGCTCAAGTTCTTTGAGGCAGAAGTCAGTAAAGAGCGCAAGAAGAAGAAGGCTCTCTCTGCCCGTCAGAGGTCCTGCAAAAAGAGCAATAAGATCTTTCCAGAGAACGATCAGAGGGAACTGGATGGTGTGATTCAGCGCCACACCACCGTGCAGAAAAAGCTAGAGTCCATCCGGAAACAGCACCGGCAGCACTCCATCCTCATGCAAGAGCACCACATGAAACAGCAGCAGGAACACATGTCTTCTAGTCAGCAGTCGGCCATGGGTCGCCAGAACCCCATGATGCAAGGTGGGCGGCAGCCCCCGATGATGGGCCCCGGCAGTCACATGCTAGGCCAGGGGGCCCCCATGATGAACCCGGGTGGTCACATGATGGGACCTGCTGGGCCAATGATGGGGGCAGGAGGCTCCATGATGGGGCAGGGTAGTCATGGAAACCGAGCAAACACACCAATGGGCAACCACCCTGGTCCCATGATTGGGCGTCCAGGCACCCAAATGATCCAGGCAGGTTTACGCAGCCCCATGCCTCACGCTGGGCCCATGATGCCTGGTGGCCAGCAGCCCATGATGGGGGACTCATTCATGCAAGACGCTGGTGCCATACAACAAGGAGTACCCCGACCGCCAGGCATGGAGGGAGTGCCCCAAGGGATGTTTCCAGGGAATGGGATGCAAGGTAGTCAGGTTCCCCTAGCATCCCCTAGCCAGCCTGCAGCCATGATGCCTGGTCAGCCCTCCCCGATGGGAATGACCCAAGTGCTGCCTATGATGCAGCCCCAGCAGACGCCCATGGTGCCCGGCCAGTCCTCACCCATGATACCCAGCCAGTCCTCCCCCATGTTGTCCAGCCAGTCGTCACCCATGATACCCGGCCAGTCGTCGCCCATGCTACAGAGCCAGCCATCTACCATGACACCCAGCCACTCTGCTGCACTGCTGCCCGGACAGCCCTCGCCTATCGTGACCAGCCAGTCACCCAGCGTGATGACTTCCCAGCCATCTCCCATGATCAGCAGCCAGCCGGGTGCCATGATGCCGCCGGGAAGCCAGCCCACCCCTGCGCAGTCTCCCATGGTGAAGGCCAGCCAGTCGGCGCCATTCCCAGTGGCCAACCAGGGTGTGAGCACTCCGAGTGGTCCTAAGTCCCCCATGTCAATGCCGCCGCCCCCTGCCAAGGTGCCGCCTGGATCTGGCTTGCAGGGACTGGTGGAACAGGGCTCTATGATGTCACCATTACAGATCAACCTGGGACAGGATAACAATCCCTTTTCCGACGGCTTTATACAGCGAGAAAGGATGGAGAGGCTGCGGGCACAGCATGAGCGGCAACACAAGCAGTTGGCGCAGGAAGTAGAGCAGGTCAGGGCCATGCAGCGCCTGGAGCAGGAACAACGCATGGCCTTGGAACAGCTACCATTCTTGAACCAGGAAGAGGGCGGGCCGTTCCAGATCAACCAGCAGGGACAGCCAGCTAGCGCAGGGGTGCCAGCTCTGCAGGAACCCATCCCTTCACCGAGTGGTAACCAGCCCTCATTTCATCCCCAGCAGTCTCCCATCCTGCCTCCATTTGGTCCTGAGGGCATGCAGGGTGCTGTGTCCCACCAGATGCCCCCACCGGATGGATTTCCAATGCCCCCAAGCTACCCCATGTCTCAAGACGGTAAGTCTGCCGACAAGCCTAAGCGCAAGCGTTCTCGGCGCAAGAAGACTGAAGAGATGATGCCACCGGCCACTCCTTTGCAAGTCCCAAGCAATTTGGAGCAGATGCAAAACAATATGTCTTCCATACAACCTGGCATGGGCCCTGCTAATCAGGTGAACAATGAAACACCTGCCGAGCAGCTGCAGAAGGATGTGCTGCAGAAACTACAGGCAGAGCTGTTGCGACGTAGCTCAGTCGAGGGAGAGAATAAGTCCCTGGACCAAGACGACAAAGGTGATGGTGACCAGAGTACGGAGGTGCTGGCGGGAAAGATCAATCAGAACCTTTTGCTCAAGCAACTGTTGCAAGGCCCATCCATTTGTAGTATAGGTCCCAAGTCGGCAGCTAAAACACCCACTGAAGAGGGTACGCCCACACCTGTTCAACTCGAGGGAGATCAGAGTACTGCTCCATCTCAGAAAAACAGAACTCTGAATGCAGACGATGATGATACATCAATACCAGAGCTGACCCCAGAGCAGCAGAAGCAGCTGGAGATGGTGGAGAAGCTGCCATATGTCAAGAAAGATGGCAAGCCGGCCGAGAATGACCACGAGATACTCCTGAAGATGCACCGGCAGGCCACTGAGGAGAAGAAGAAGGACTTTGAGGAGAGCCAGAAGCAGCGCCGGAAGGAGCTGCTGCTGAAGCGACAGCAGAGGGCCCTGGAGAAGGCACTAGAGAAGGCCAGTGGGGGAGGGAAGCGGCGTAGGAAATCCAAGGACTCCGATGGCGACATGTTCACCAGCACGGAGGAGCTCTTGAATGCCATCAAGCAAATGCCCATGCTGAACCTGATTGAGCCGGATGTCAATGTTAACTATGGCCTCTGCCCTGTGTTTGGCAGCGCCCTGCCAAACGGAACAAAGCTACTGAAGGGGAGCTTTGGCCATGCCGTCATAGATGGTGTAGCCGATTTTTATGCCAACTTCCCCAATGGAGCTCTGGATGTCAATCCGCCCACACCTCCATCATCCCTACCTCCATCACCGCCCATCAAGCTACCTGGGGGGCTGTTGAATGGACCCAGCCAATCAGCTGATGCCCGGAAAGGATTGCTAGAAAAACAGAAGACCCAAGGAAGGCCAGGTATTGAAGGGGAGGTTAAACCTCCCCACCCCTGTGACAAATTATACATTTTCAAATTTTTCAAAACCATAAGACTCCTTTTCTCTTGACAATGTAGCTCAGTAATCAGGACATACATTTAGATTCAGATTCAGATTTATTATTGTCCTCGCAAAAATTCTCACAGAAATTAATTTACTTTCCATTGGTTTGTTACAAAGTACAGTGAGACAGTAAGTTATTGCATTCATCGATATTAAATTACAATCAATAACAAAACAAGATTACATTTAAAACAACATAATAACATAATAATAACATAACTTATTGATAAACCGTTGATTATTTGAAATGATTATAAAAGCTAACAAAAACGAAAGAGGATTTTTTCTATTCAGTGGATTCTACTTTTAAACTAAAGTGTGCTTTTGAAGCTTTCTTACAATTTTTTAAATTTTGGTTCTAGGCGTCGGAATAATGACAGGGGATGATATCATGCAAGAGATTAACTCCCACCAGCGAACCATCACCCGCGCGATGAACCATGCCTACTCCCTGGACCTGCCTCCATCACTACCAACTCCTCCTCCCTCGGGCGTTGCCGGGCGGGACCACTTGGGCACGCCAGAGGGTGTTGTACCCTCATCATCGCCGGAGTGCGACGAGGAGGGTGGGTCCTACCGGCTGCGGGGGCTGAAGCTCATTACGGAATCGGCCATCGCCATGTGCATGGAGAGGTCGTCCTCGCCCACATTTCCCATCGTTAGGCCCATACCGAGAAAAGGTAAAGAATGGTCTCAACAAATGGTGGATCCAGCAAATTTACCAGATAAACTTATCAGCACATTTAGATGACATTATTACTCTACCATTGCACTTATTACTTTTGCACATTGTACCCGAGTTTTAGGCCAAAGTGTCATCTCTGCCAGTTTTTTCTTTCCTCACAATTCGAACAGCCAAGGCGATGATCAACTCAGAAAACAGCCGGGGCCTCCTGTCCCCACCGGCTGGCACAGTGGCCGTGACGCTGACCATGACCGACTCGGCCGCCGAGAATGTTAAGGGTGTGGTTAAGTCGCTGTGTGGTTTGCTGTGTGTGGCCGAACCCACATCGTACCAGGTTGGGGGTGGGGAAGTGAGGAAAGAACTGGCTACCTCGGGCAGGAAGAGGGAAGCCAGGCCCTCAACAGGTGAGGAACTTTACCCTGCTGTTTTTGCAAAATCGTTAGTCTTTTGCTTCATTGCCTCATTGGGCTGCATTTAATTTTCATATGCCTAAAATTGTGGTTGTACACTTTCAAACGGAAGAACAAAATTTTGGACGGTACACGATCGATCAGAGATGTAAACAAAACAGCTACAAGGTGTTGTGTTGTGCTTTTCATAGTTGCATGAGATTTTTTTAACTGTACTGCAGCTTTTGTATATTGATCTTGCATGATCGCTCATGCAGTGTGTTGATGAAAGTGCAGTCAAATAACTATTTGTTGTACATGTATGTGATAAATCCCACAATGTGAATCTTAGTGCCATTTTTCTCATTTTTTTTTTCCAGTCTGCTTTGGAAACTGCAAACGGAGCTTTTAGTTTTAATGAATCAGTCAGTTTCATCCTGATGAAACGAGACGTTGTGTGGAAAATGTTAAGGGTTCCTGATCTTTGCTGTGCAAGATTTTTTTCAAAGGCGTTTTTAACTTAGAAAGGGTTCTGGTAACTTGCAATTCATTTTGTTAGTGGATCACACCTCTGAGGTTATTGAAAGTGCTTTGGATTATTTGTTTGGCAGACTCCAGTGTCTCTGATCGCTCCCAGAGCACCGTCAACAGCACGGTGGACAGCCAGCAGCAGCAGCTGGCGCTCAGTGGCAAGCAGCAGCGGTTCTGCAAGCACTGCGACGTGGTTATCTTGGGGGAGGGCGTGCTGAAGTATACGGGTGACCCGGCCAACCCCAAGGTCATCTTCTGCAGCAGCGACTGCTACATGCAGTTCAGCATCTCCCAGCGGTCCCAGGGGCCGGCACTGGCCCACCAGGAGCCCGCGGCTGGGGCGGTGGTTAACCACCTGAGCTCGGAGCCCACTAGCCCCGTCCTTAAGACCCCAACCTCCTCCTCTGCCACCTCTGCTGCTTCCTCGTCCACCTCTGCTGTGGCCATCTCTCTGCCAGCCATCATGCCCCTGGGGGCTGTGTCTACCTCGGTTGCTGGCGAGGCTCTCAGCAAGGTGACCCTCACTACGTCCGCTACCTCTGTAACTTCCGTCACGCAGCCCGTGGCTGCGCAGCTTCCTCCGACGATCAGCATCCCATCAGAGGTCAAAGGTGACATGGAGGTCAGCAGTGGCAAGCCCAGCAAATTAGTCATCAGGAGGAAAGCAAGCTCCCTCGATGATTCTGGAGTAAGTTTCAACATAATGTTCTGTTTCATTTGCTATGAAACCTCAGCAGGTAGTCATTTGTGGTGCTGATGTACTTTATTAGTGTCTTTTTGATCTGACAACACAATGCAAGCCATCGCTGGTACTCCACCATCCCCATTGGTGCCCAGATTTTCTTCTCACTTTCATTGAACATTGAAAAATGTAGCAAAAAGAAAACTATTTGGTAATAGACATGGCTCCTTCACGTACACATGCATAATCAACCTACACGACATCTAGAATGGATTTATTTTGCCACTTGCATCAAGAGCGCAGAAAGGCAAATGGGTTTTGGCAGCTATGGCAATTTATTGGCCGTTGACATATCCACATTTTCAGGAGGACAACCACAGCACTTACTGTGGTTACCATGGTTGAGTGCGATCCCTGTCATTTGAAACATTGGTATGAAGTGATGTCTCATTTAAAATTTCCTAGTACACTGGAAAATTAGAGTCACACAAACTCCTGGCTTCCTGTTCTTTTTCCTCCAGTAATGTTGACTTTCCTGTCACTGAATCTGTTGCTCTCTGGTTTTGATTTTTTCCAACAGCCACCAGCTCCTAAAAAATGGAAGAACCTCCGTTGGAAGAAGTGGACTGTTTCCATAGTAACCCACAAGAAATACCGGCCACCCAGTGAACAGGACATAGATGAGGTATTATAACGCAATCGAGCACATTCCCGCAATGATGGGATGAACTTCCCATAAATAAATGAGAATTGGGAAGGTTTTTTTTTTTGCCTTGTGTGTTCATGACTAGGAATGGCCACCCCCCAAATAAGGGACTGTCTGAAAATTCACAAATTCCCAATGTCAGTTGTCGGGAATGATCAACTTCATGCTATTACGCCAGTTTCTAAAGGCCATTCTTCCTTCTTACTCTTGTTGGCTTCTTTAATGTGAAAAGGGGCTCCGCTGAATTGTTTTTACCCTTCATGTATTTTGCCAGCTGATGAAACGATTGGGCACCTCCCTCCGACCAGACAGCAAGTACAGAGACTCGCGGGCCTGCCTTCTGTGTGGTGGGCAAGGAGACGGGGAGACCGATGGACCAGCAAGGTAGGGAGAATCTTTTCTCTTGCAGCCTACCATCATCCTTGGGAAACCATGACCAAACCTGTCATCATCCTTGGGAAACTATGACCAAATAAGCAATTTTATTCCTTGCAATTTTTTTCGACCAACTTTGAACAGCGATCGACGAGGAAGCCTTGACCATGAATAAGCAATCTTCCTTGCATTTCTTTAATTCAATCAACTTTGCGCAGTGATTGACTTTGAGCTTAATGAACACACTCCACTCACAATATTAGAAGTGAAGTGCATCCTAACAGTCCAATCTTTTTCTGAAAAATTGGTACTTTGAAAAATGATCAACAATCCTTTTTCTCATAGTGAATGAAAAGATGAAGAAGACACTCGGCATTTGTGACAGTCGCATGCACAACAGCCCTGTCATAATAACATAGGTCAGCGGCTGTGTCAAAGTTCAATCAGTTAAACTCTGTAGCAATGCTGCCAGTGTCCTTCGGCGTCCAGTCGCTTGAGTGACCATAAACTGGCCTTTGTTATTAATAACAGTTCACTGAAAGCAAAGTTTGATTCACCTGTCATTCCGTTTGTGGTTTTTTTTGCAATCCCAGGCTGCTAAATGTGGACGTGGATACCTGGGTGCACCTGAACTGCGCCCTCTGGTCCTCAGAGGTGTACGAAACGGTGAACGGCGCCCTCATCAATGTGGACATGGCCATCCGGCGGGCCAAAGGGGTGAGCTGCTGCTACTGCAGTAAGTTTGGCGCCACCGTCTGCTGCCACAAGTTCCGCTGCTCCAACGTCTACCACTTTGGCTGCGCCATCCACGACCACTGCATGTTCTTCAAGGACAAGGTAGCTAAGCCTCAGAGAGAAGTCCTCATATCACTCATAAAGAGCCAGTGTAAACGGGCCATGTCTTATCAGTGCCGATATACAATTGGCAGTATTTGATATGATTCCACAAAATGAGTCTCATGGCCGTGCTTACTGTGATTTTTATTTTAGTTTGCATAAGACAGAACAAACTTGTGTTTTTTCGTTTGGCCGTGATGCATCACTCAGGTTTTGGAATCATGATGAGATTGGATATTGTGTGGGTGAGAAATGTTGTTGGCTCCAGTCAGTTCACAATGTACAAGATATTTATCAGCCTCTAACTCCAAAGTTGCTATTTCAACTTGCAGCCCATTTAGGTTACTTTGAGGACTGCAGTACAAATGAAAAAGCATCATTACTTGTTCCGTGGTTCTGTTGGCAGTTCTTTGTGGTAATTTCTTTGCTGTAGACGATGCTATGTCCTCTTCACGCCCCGTCCAAGGCATCTGACAGCGCCCTGCAGCGCTCTCACATTGTCTACAGGAGAGTCTACATCAGTAGAGATGAGAACAAGCAAGTGGCTAGGTAAGCTGGCAGAAGATTGAAAGACCACAAACAGTGCAAAGTAGCTTGGAGAGTTGTCTATATGGTTCCGTGGCATGATACCACACAGGCCCGTACTTGCCGTCATTGACAGAGGATTGGAGGAGGGTGTGCCAGCACCAGCATACTCACTGTGTTTTGGAGGGCAGCCCAGTCCCCAAGCTGTGGCCGTGGCTTGAAACAATGTACGTGCCTGTTGCAAGGCGTGAGCTATCGGCTATACCCTCCTGCCATAGACACCCAGTTTAATCCTGGCTGCTGCCGTGTGGTTTGAGCACTGCTGAAATCACAAGCCCATTCTTCCACAGATTGATTTTCATTATCCAAGCTGGTGGTGTATCTGTCACTGTACCCGTTTCCTGTTCTCCTTCTTGACAGCATCATGCAGCAGCTGGATCGCAAGCACACGTTCCGCGTGGGTAGTCTGGTCTTCCACTCGCTGGGCCAACTCTTGCCCCATCAGATGCAGGCCTTCCACTCAGAGAATGCCATCCACCCAGTAAGTAGCTCCTACTCCTCCTTGAGATGTGTACCGGGGGGGGGAAGAACTTACGTTTGCCTGTGGGAGGGATCCGTGCACTGCCATTGCTGTACTGCAACCCTTGAAAGTGCTCCTTGATAGTTTCACATTTTGTTACGCATTTTCAAACAGATTTTGGAACTCTTTTAGTTTTTATGCAAATGCAAATTTTCATATTCACGAGCAAAACTGTAATGAAATCCAAGGAAGAAAACGTCATTGTTACATTGCATTGTGCACAAAGCCCCATTGGAAGTATTGATATTTTGCTGTCCCAAATTTTCTTTTCCGTGATGATTTGTTGTTGTATATATTGTGTATTAAGTACATGGCAATGAGCCAATCTTTCGTAGAACATTTTGTGTTCAAACAGGTTTCATACACCGGAGAAGAAAATAAACAAGGGCGAAAAGTGCCTTTAAGAAAAAATACATCACATGAACCTTTTAAGCAGGGTACAAAAAAGGAAGCAGCGGTAGCAGTGAATAGTAATGGGGCTGTCATTCACAGGTCGGCTTTGAAACCACGAGGCTTTACTGGAGCATGCGATTCACCAACAAACGCTGCAGCTACACCTGTAGTATCCATGACAACGGAGGCAAGCCGCTGTTCATCATCCGTGTTGTGGAGCAAGGACACGAGGACATCGTTCTGCAAGACTGCTCGCCAAAAGGTTGGCCAGTCTCAAATGGAATATTGTTTTTCTGTCATTTAATCCATGAAGTTTCTCTCTTTTTTAGTAGTTTGACAGCATACGTAGGACTTGAAAAAATAAAAAGTCTGACATAACTGTCCATGCAAGAGTTATCACCAACAAAACTACATTTCTGAATTTGAAAACTCTGACCTGACCTATGACAAGTGAAAAAATACAGCTCCCAAGTCTGAGATTTGAGACATTTCGGTGTCAATCGAAAGAACAACATTTATGAAGCAGCTTTTTGGTTCTGCCTGTGTCCTTCGACAGCCGTCTGGAGCAAAGTTCTGGAGCCCATCGCCAAGCTGCGACGAGACGCCGACATGCTGAAACTCTTCCCCATGTTCCTGACGGGTGAGGAGCTGTATGGCCTAACCGAACCAGCCATCCAGCGAGTCATTGAGTCGGTAAGTTACAGTGGATTCAGTGGAAGGTGGGCGAGTCTGTAAGGTGATCTGTTCTGGGCTGGTCTTTGGCCAGTTGAACAGTTGGAGCAAAAACAATGACAATTTCCAGAATTTATCTTACTATGCTAGTCTGTTCTGGGCAAAATAAAGTTTTCTGAGAACTGAAAATTGTTTTCATAAGTTAAATTGTACAAATGCACATTTTTTGATGCTATGATATTTAGAGTTAATCGGAAACCATTGTTCGTTTCTTTTCTGCTCTATACATTCGCAAGCTGTTTGCTCTTTGAAGGGAACTGAACGCACTGAATGAAAGTAACAGAGCTTCTTTCCACCTCCCTCCCCCCTTGCTTGCAGCTGCCTGGTGTTGAGCTGATCCAAAGCTACAGCTTCCGGTTTGGCCGATCACCCTACATCGAGCTCCCCTTGGCCATCAATCCAACAGGTTGTGCCAGGACCGAGCCCAAGATGAGAACACGTCTTAAGAGGTGAGAAAGTGAAACCACAAATCGCCAGTTGTTACTTCCAGTTTCCTGTGCAATGGAGGATTGAAGAATTTTCTCCTCCGACTTTGACGTATTAAGATTTCCAAAGTGTATTTTAACCACTTCCTGCCGGAGACTCCGGAATCGGAGACGTATACTTTATATGCGTGGCCGGGGTCTGCGAACTCGGACAAAGGAAACAGGGCCCTGTAACAAAAGACCGTACTCTGAACAAAAGACCAGGCTGCTGGGCATTATCGACATTTTTCACTCTCAAAAGTGGAGATAATCCAGCCTTGTTTTGAAACCGTATACCAGGGTTTGGGGCATTTATAGCGAGCGGATTACCACAGGGGACAAAAGCGCTCCATCACCGCAGCGATGAGCCACACAGCACCGCTGCACGCTAATCTGGCCCCTATTGAAAAGAGGTCAGCAGTGCACCGAGCCAGGTTCGTGAACAAAAGAAAGTTACATAACACCGCACAATCTGGGCTCTTTTTACAAGGCTGCAGGCCTGGCTGAAATACTCTGGCATCAATGAAGGTCAACTAATGCCTAAAGATAACTCCGTGCGGCTATAAACGTCCGTTAAATGAAATGATGAATTTTTGAAGGATTTTGAAAAACGGAAAAAAATGATAATTATGCCGGCCCAGCATCATCAACATTGAAAAATGCCCGGCATGAAGTGGTTGAATAGGTTGAAAAAGGGAAGTAGACAGAGTCTGGAACTGCAGGTGCCCACACCTGCACTCTGAGCTTTATAACCGTCTTGAGGAGAAGTGATCACATGAGACATGGTGGCAATATGTATCATTCCACTGGTTGAAGAGACACATGCCACCTGCGCATAGCCTTGGGCGTTAGTGTTGCACCTCTGGAGTATCACCCTCGTGTGTTGGCGTGTTTTAGTCATGTGTAGTGTGCTGGTCTGTCAACGTCTGACGGGGAGCACTTGACAGTTACCAAAGAAACTATTCTTGCCACTGACCACAGTCATTGCAATGTTAAGAGCAGAATAGATCTGAGAAATAGTAGGCATACCCAGAGAGCATACAGCTTTCTTTTTTTAACTCACCAAATGAACCGCTGGCAGGCGCTGGGTTCAACGTTCCATGGAATTTATTTTTTTTTTTTTGCAAAAATCCAAAAATTCTCAAGTTGAAAATAATATCTCCCGCCACCCCATCTGTTAACAGACCTCACACGCTGACCAGTAACACCACGTCGCGGGCCTTCCAGACCACATTGAGTGGGGAATTTGTGTCACCGTACAACAAGCAGTTCTTCCACTCCAAGTCATCCCAGTACCGACGACTCAAGACGGAATGGAAGACCAACGTGTACCTGGCGCGCTCTAACATTCAGGTAAAGCTTTTTAATGCTTATCTTGCCAGATTTTCTCGTGTTACTTCACATTGATCATGTTGTGATTCATCGTTAGTTGATTTTTTGGCATCCCCCATTTAAAGTGGCTGGGCACCACTTAACGTCTCTTGAAATGCTCTTGGAGAGTCAGTGCTAAACCAGACCAACTCTGTTCAACAGGCTCTCCTCTTTATGGGTCATTCTGGTGTTAGAAGTGCTGCTCTTCAAATATGTTGTGGTTCAGGGCCCCATTTGTCTTGAATGGACCAAGGCCATGTCTGGAGCACAAGTTTCCAGCGCCTATGGCCACTGTCAGTGTTGTAGTCAGGACCCCTTAGTCAAGGTCACAAGCCATCCAGCCTTTAATAAGTCAAGTCACAAGCTATTCACTTGAACTACAATAAAAGTATGACTTTGTCACTGTCCAGGCCGTTACTCGTGACTGGTCTTGTGACAGGTAGTATGACCCTTCTTGTGTTTGGTCTTGACTACAACGCTGTGCATTTCACAACTGGTAAAGACCTATCTAGACCTAGCTCCAGACTTCAATCTGCATTAGGATTTGGATGCTGGCTGGAATGACAAAATTTGCTTATTACTATTATGTCGCTGTGCCTCCCCCCCCCCCCACAGGGTCTGGGTCTCTTTGCCACCCGGGACATTGAGAAGCATACCATGGTCATCGAGTACATCGGCCGACTGATCCGCAATGAGGTGGCCAACCGGCTGGAGAGGGTCTACCAGCGGGGCAACCACGGCATCTACATGTTCCGCATTGACAACGACACAGTGGTGGATGCCACCATGAGCGGCAACCCGGCCCGCTACATCAACCACTCCTGCAACCCCAACTGCGTGGCTGAGGTGGTGAGCTTCGACAAGGAGCTCAAGATCATCATCATCTCCAATCGCCGTCTCAGCAAGGGGGAGGAGGTAGGGCCGTCAACTGTTAAAAAGAATCTTGGGGTCGGTTCGTTCAAACACCAATGCAAGTTTGCAACGTCAAATCAAATATGTTCGACACATTCAAACTCTGAGTGATTTTTGCTGCAAATGTTTGGCGAGGCCAAAATTCATTTCTCTTTTGCATTTTCCTGAAGCATGAACCAGCCTTAACCACTTCCTGCTCAGTGGATTTTTATTGAGCAAGACAAGATGCCGGGTTCTTTCCAAAATTTTCCATTTTCAAAATTCTTCAAAAATTCATCATTTCATTTAATGGCCGTTTATACCAAAATGAAGGACTCTTTGGGCACTATTCTAAAGCTGACAGGTAAAATTCATTGACTCCTGAATATTTCAGCCAGGCCTGCAGCCTTGGAAAAAAAAAGCCCAGATTGTGCCGTGTTACGTAAGATTCTTTTGTTCCCGAAACCGGCACAGTGCACTGCTGACCTCTTTTCAATAGGGGCCAGATTAGCGTGCAGCGGTGCTGTGTGGCTCATCGCTGCGGTGGTGGAGAACTTTTGTCCCCGGTGGTAATCCGCTCGCTCTAAATGCGTCAAACCATGGTATACTGTTTCAAAACAAGGCTGGATTATCTCCACTATTGAGAGCGAAAAAATGTCGGTAATGCCCAGCAGCTCAGTCTTTTGTGCTGAGCACGGTCTTTTGTTATAAGGCCCAACTCTTTTGTCCCAGTTCCAGGCTCCCCGGCTCTGCATATAAAGCAATCGAAAACGGGTCGCCCGGCAGGGAGTGGTTAATCCTCCGCTGTCTGTGAAGGTCCCCCTCCCCCCAGCCCAGAGAAGCAATGATTTTTCCTTCATTTTGTTTAGGTTACTAATACATGTACAGTGTACTCCCAAACTGTCCGTCAATATGTGGGGAAAGATAAATGAAATCAATTTCCACATGCGCTGCATTCTGAGGCCTTGTACTGTAATTACCACAGTTATTCCTCTAAACTTTTAATTCATGTATCTGCCGAAAAGAAATTGAAAAAAAATCCCCCCCCAAATACCCTTGTCAAGGCTAGAGACAGATACAAAATGCATTTCCATAACATGATGCAGGTCAGGTATGACTTGTTGGGCTGTAGTTGAGTCAAGCTTCACGTCAGTTCACTGCCTGAAGTGACAGATCAAAGTGCCTATCCTTGGTCTCTGGAGCCAATGCAACCCAACTATTGACGTGTTTTCTCATCTCTTCCTCTCTCTACCACAGCTGACTTACGACTACAAGTTTGACATTGAAGACGAGAATAGGATCCCCTGTTTGTGCGGCGCTCCCAACTGCAAGAAATGGATGAACTGAAATGGAAAAGACTGAGACGGAGAGACGAATCACAACTCACAGAGAGAGGGGACACAAGGCACATTTGTACGAATCTGTACTCAAATTTCAACAAAATCTCTTTGACAGAAATTCAGTCCAGATGTTTGTGAAATGCCTGCTGGTGTCAAGGAGCTTTCTGGTAGGTTACTTTGTGAGACCACGTTACGTAAAACTCAAAAGATCAGAAAAATTCATGAGATCAAGCTCTCCAGTTTTTATTCTTTCGAAATTTTAACGATTCCTATGAAAGATTGTAAATCCTGCTTGAAATGTGTAGCTACCATGAGTCAAGTAAAGCACCCTGATTTTTCATCATTGTCCGGTGTGTAAAAAAAAAGTCTGAGGAAGCTTTTGGCATGCTGTAATTGAGGAAGATCCAAAATTATTCCTTTTTTTTGTACCCCTGAACTGTTACCATATGTTGGACAATGGGTAGGGGAAAATGACAAAAATGAAACAGAAAAAAAACCACATGATGTGCGGATGGAGGGTGAAAAGCGTTAAAACATGTCTGCATGAAGTTTGGACTGAAGATTTAAAGCATGCAATACTCTCCTTGGTGAGAGAATTTTCTGCATAATGCAGCCATCTCGGTTTTATGACCATTCCCCAGTTTCAATTTTTTTTTAGTGTAAATACTATATTTTTAGGTAAAAAATAAGAGAAAAAAAAAGAAAGAAAATGAAGGAAGTTAATTTTTTGACGATTATTGCAGCTCCAACCTCTTGAACGGGGAGCGTATTTTTGTTATATTGGTAATAATCTCGACATCTTTTGTGACGTTTGTTACTACAAAAGCTGCCAATATTTTGAGGAGAAAATACCCTTTTTTGTCTTTGACTGGTTTTTAACCTGTATAGCTAAATCAAAAAACCTTTACGTGTATTTACTTTGTCGGGGGTTTGTAGAAGTCATGCTGTTTTCTCCAGTAGTGTTGTATCATAACTGAAAAAAAAAATGTCTTTGCAGTAGCCACAACTTAACTTAGCTCACCAAAAATATTCCTGGTATGTTCATATTACTAGAGATGTGATGTGGAACCTGTACAGTGACAGTATATGCAGATTTACTGATAGGGGACGACAATAGCTGTTGCATTTTTAAAAATTTGGTTACAGAATAAAATTTAAAACATTTTACAATTCAGTAATGTACCGTATTTGCTGGGGGCACTATAGTTGCATTATTTCCACTTGTGATTTCAAAAATAGGGACAGCGGGACAGACATGTATAGCGTGGAAAACTGGTTTTGTTTTCCCATGTTTATTTTGTATAAATAACGAGTCCATAGTATGAGGTGTAATGAGTCATGGTAGTGCGTCAATTAAAATTTCTCTACCTCCATCCAGGTAGACTATACCAAAATAGTTATTGCCAATTCTTAAGGTGCTGTAGTAGTAGGGTTTTTGTTTTGTTTTAGCACCGATTTCTGTCAGAGCTTGTAAATATCCATTCACAACCAGCACTTGCGCTGCAAAAATGCCCCCTCCCCAAGATATAATATTGTATTAGTGACATAATTCAATTCTGTTTTGAGTATTTATTGCGGCGTAGTTGACTGTTAAGAATCATGAGCGAGTATGAAGATATTGTGGACACGAATGTGACAGACGTGTTTTTACTAATCAACTTTTTGCTGAAAATTTGCAGCCCCAAGAACATGAACTGGTTTTGCAAATATTTAAAGGGTATTTGAATGGAAGTTACAGGGACAGTAGATCGTTCTGGCAGCAATGTCTGTTTTTTCCTTTTGAAATGAGTTCCCTGAACTGAAATTTGCAGTCGAGTAAATGATCCTAAACTTGTACTGAGTAAGCTTTTTTGCATTTTGAAAACTGCATGTTTTACGTTATTTTAATAGAAGAAAAATCTAACAAGCAAATGTATTAAAGTGACAATCGCAACAAATAAAACACAACCTTGTTATTTTTAGTAACAGGTATCATAACTGCAACTTATGTAAAAGACTCGAAAAAGTTACAAAAAAATGATATATTTTACTGTTATATTAATATAAAAGAAGTATGTGGCAGTTCTTGTACAAAATACTTTGATGTGATTTTGAGAAATTTAATTTTAGATATGGATATCTTTAGTTTTGTGTGTTGTTTCTGTTTATGGAAGCCGCCAGAATGGTAATTCTTTTTGTACAGCTAATTCTCTTGTACATAGCGCCCATTGAGGTTAACTAATCACTTGACTCACTGTAACATCCTTTTTTTTAACTCCTTAAATGAACTAGTGGTGTTTACCTTGTAGATTGTGCAGTTCCCAATTTTATACATAGTGTACAGAGTATGACCCTCCGTATGAAGTGGGGTTGAGTATTGTACCGATTTTTGTTTTTTGTTTGAACGTTTCTTCCCTTCTAGGTTTGTGTATGGTTGCGTGCTCAGTGGGTGTAGCGTGTCCCCTTCTCCTTTGTTTTTCTGTCTGTCCTACTTATTCCTTCAGCTGAATGTGGAATGCCAATAAATTCATTAACAGACACTACAGTACACCACGCCTCGTTAGTCTGGTTTCTTTATTATCAGTTTGGCGTGTTGCTTTTCAGGTTTCTCATTTTGCTCATTTCAAAATTGGAAGACAGATTTGTCATATAATGTCTGATAACCTATCTATGGTACATGTGTCTCCACCTTACTCCCTTTCAAATTGCACATACATGTACACATGCCCCAAATCACCTCTACAAATGCATTTCGGTAGTGATCTTGTTCGGAAGCCCCCACCAACTACTATCCCGACCACTGGTGACGGGGCTGGGGGCCCATGCCCCCCCCACCTTTGAAAAGGTAGTTATTTTGCCCCTCCCCCACTACCAGCAGTTGGAAGTACATTGCAACTTCATAGTTGCATTCTTTTCAGTTAAATGGCTGGAGCTGCCCCCTCCCCCACATTTAAAACCGTTGCGTTGCTGTTGACCCCAACCAGCATCTACACTTCCATTATGGAATCCATCTTGTCATTTCATTTTTATTTACACTTTTACAACTGCCTTTTTCTATAATTACCTCGGTCACTTTGACCTTTTCCCTATTGGTAAAAACCCCATCAGATGGCTTTTTTTACAGCCTGTGAACTACCATGTAGAAGGAAAAGGACACACAGAACGACGTGCGTCATATGCATCTTACGCTCAGGACGCATAGAATGCGTACCGTACATTTTCTGAGCGTCATATGCATATGATGCACGTCATTCTACGTGTCCTCCTTTTCCGTCTACCGAACCACCACTTTGAACCACTTCATTCTGTGCTGTGCGGTGCAGCGCACACCGTGCACACAATCTCAAGGTTAAGGAGATTCTGAAGCAAATATTGACCAGATAAACACATGGCCAGAGGGGGGGTATATAACACAACAAGCAAACTACAACAGTCACAGAAAAAATAGAGATACAACAATAAAACAATAATCTCTGACTTGCATTCACATTTGTGACCTGAAGGTATCATGGTATCTGTCAATACCTGACATGTCTTGACTTTGTGAGCGAACGGGGAAAAAGAGATCACTGAACGCTTTTAAAATTGATAAAGAATCTAGTTCGCCTTCATCTTTTGCTCCATCCGTAATCAGTGATCAGACCCCAAGCCTTGAATCAAACCACATTTGCAACTTCTCCAGCATCCAGGTTAATTTCTCCCCCTTTAAAAACTACCCCACAGATTTTCACCTATAAAAATATACTGCCGTCAACCGCCATTCACAATTGCACTACACAGATAAAAGTACATCACTAGCGTCAGTATACAAGACATCATTATAAAATTGATGCAAAATAGTTCATGTTATCTACAGATAGTACTATCTCTTTAAAGATTAACAATCAATTTGATACATCATATATATATATATATATATATATATAGAAATATTCATGGTAAAAGGCTACAGGTCCCAGTTTTTATGAGTATAAGTACAAAAGTATCATACCAGCCAATACTTTCACAACCTCCATATTCTTGGTTTCAAATTCTAGAGATGCTTGAATCATTATCTTGATTTCAGACTTGATGCAACAGATTAAACACACAGGAATGTCAATGATAAACCCTGGAAGAGCTTGTGGGCAGAATCTAACCCCCCCCCAACTTTTTCTCATACAGTGTCTTAATGCACTTTTTCTCTATATGGAGCCTTCAGTTTTTCCAGTAATGTCTTGTAATCAATCTGACAGTATTTTGGACGGCCGAATTCAGGGAACCTCCCCCCAAAAGAAACACTGTGAGATGGCCTGAAAAAAGTTGGGGCCTTCTTAGGATAAAAAATTTGAATTCAGCCAAGCTTAATATAAGCAATACATAAGAGAAATATTATTTACACAGTGCTATATCTTCTACAATACACAACTAATTTGGAGTATATCTTGGGAGCATTTTCATTTGTCAAGGCATTGCCTCCCTTTTCACAGATCTGGAGCCAATACTGCCTGTCAGATTCATTGGTAGAAGTACAGACTATAAGCTGGCACTTGGCCATGAAATGCAAAGTGCTCCTTTCTGTAAAAGAACCAGCAGATTGGGGGCTTTCCAGCGCCAGAACATTTCCCCTAGTTGAACAGTTCCCAAGTGCTTCAGCACAAGCAACACAGTGCTTATGAGCCTACAAACTGCCAGGGGCAATGGTTCCGGGACACTGACCCCCTTAATCACTGATTTGCACTTAAAGCAAACAGGTGTGCCCAGGACCTCCTCAGACAAGTTGGCTGTGGCTTTGGTAGGCTCAGGCCTCACTTCATCATGTCATCACCCGTGTGGAAGCCAAAACGTTGTGAAACCTCAACTTGTTCTGCACTTTGTCATCCTCAAGGAGCGCGTACAAAATCTCTTCCATGAGTTGCTTATGTAACTTTAATCTGTCTTTTGTGGCCATCTCAGTAAAAAAAAAAACACACCCAGCAACACACCCAGCAATAACACACCCAGCAACCTTTCCGTGTCCACAAAGTGCACAATTCACTGGTTATAACTTGGGTATTGAAAACCCTTCAACGAGCATATAATAGGCTACAGCAATACAACGGTTAACATCTACTATTATAAAACAAGCAGTATTGATGTATACCTTCAGAAACATTGGACAAAGCCCTTTGTTAGAATATCAAAAATATATACACAAGGCTTCTAATCACCAATTTAAAAACATGGAAGACTTTAAGAACTATGCGATCCTGTCACCATTTGTGCAAACTTGAACCTGAGTGCTTTTAAGCTTTCCAGTCAGCTGTGAAGAACTAACTTCCGATCCTTGATTAAGCTAAATGTGCTCATTTAAGGTTCCAACAAACTGCAACAAGGCCTGCGTATTCTAACGATTCGTCTGCTATTCGAACAAAACGAAACTGCGGAACCAGTCCCACACGCGCACGCACACGTATAACATGCACCACAGTTCATTTGAGCTGGTCAGCAGAAGATTTGTTTTCACTTTGCTATAACCCCTCCTGTTGGACTCTTTCAGGGGTAACCAAACCATACACACCCTGGTTCCAGATTCACAAAGTTCCTTAGCAAAAAAAAAACACCTGGCCAAGCATCTATTCTTGCAGGACAAGTCAACCGGGAACCAGTGACAGGTTATACATGTGCACACTGGCTGGTTACCAGTTGCTGATTAGCTCTCTCTATCTCTGAGCAGCAAACATACTGATTTGTGCCCTGACCGCTTTCACTGAGTGTGCTGTCTGCTCTACTGCAGCGATATCTTTGTGGTTCTCGGCAGTGTGAATGTCATGAGTCCGCCGAATATCAGCAGAGCCGCCACCAGGAGGATGTTGACAGTGCAGTGTGTCTGGATCAGGATCCCAAAGACCAGATTAGAAACAATGGACGCTACCCTGTTGACCACGCCTTGCACTCCAAATGCAGTGGATCTGAAAAACCACATCAAGGGCAAGTGATGAGTGAAGAACTGCTTGGCAAAATGTTATCCATCCATGGAAAACTGACATCAATTTTGTCACAAACTCTAAGAGGTAATCATTCAAATCTTTTTTGGGTCCGAAAACCACAAGATGAAAAAATTACTTGGAAAACTGAAAAGGACAAGTGAACTGAATATTTTGTATCAAAGGTGCTGTGTTTCAGATTAACATTGACATGACATCATGATGATGTCATCCAGTGATTTCAGATGGATTTTCAAATCTTTAACTGACTGTTCTTGACATTTACTAAACCAGTGAGGCTTCATAAGCTTTTAAAAAGTGAAAAAGCTTTGCATTCGGTGCAAAACAGAAGCAAACTCCCGTCAATTCATTATATCTCTTAATGTCATGAACTAGCCAATCAAAAGAGAGGGCACTCCATGAGTACAGTGAATTATTAAATTGAACTTATGACTAGGGAATTAGAAGTTAAAAAGTCTCTTTATAATGCCTTGGCTCGATACATACCGCATGTGAGTAGGGTAGATCTCAACAGCTAAAACGTTGAGAATGTTCCACGTAATGACCGACACGCCACCGAAGCAGCAGAAGACGATGAGCACCTCTAGGCGGGTGCTGACAAACCAGATGAAGAAGACAATGACGCCTGACAGGAGTAGACTCGCAGCTGCAGGGAAAACAGAGAATGTGGACACGGCTACTGCCTGAGCCAGGGAATCTGTCAAGCTCTCCTACTCCATGTCAACTTTTGCAAGAAGGAATTATGTGGGAGCCAAACTTTGGCGGTAGAAAAAGTATTTATGTGTTTTAAATGTTGCTTAGTTCCTTGTTTGTGTATCCTGAATTTCTAAGCTTTCAGAGTCAAAGACAACTCAATTTTGGGACTCACACATTAAAGTCTTCCTTCCGAGGACATCAACTAGAAAAATGGCTACCAAGTTGCCGGGCAGATTGGACAAACTTGTGTAGAAGGAATCCAGGTAGATGCTGTAAACGTAACAAAAACAATCAAGGATTTTGGACTCAGCGAGACAAATCCTTCCATTGGCTAATCTTTAACAAAACTCTGACATCTAATAGAGATTGCTCTTTCTACTGGCTCAGTAAAGAGAGGACCCTACATCGTCGAGTCGCTCAGTAGACATTGCTGAGCAAACTTCTTGCCATGCCAAATTCAGCAGGAAACGGCAACCCATCATGCTGGTCTTAAGCCTGACTCATAAGCATCACATTTTAGCTGGTAACCCATTCATGAGAAGGCATACACTTGTACACTGTCAATGCCAAAGCAAACTGGTGTCCTTGGCCATCGACAACACTTGAAAAAAGCATGCCATCTTTCAGGGGCATGCCACTAATGGTTAGGGTTTACTCCAGATCACAGGATCTGGGTCCACATCCTGCAACAGGGGCGTAAGTTGGCTTCTGAGGAATGTCAGTTTTATCCTCCCTTGCCTCTCTTGCCCAAGGAATACGAATGCATGGGTAAGTGTCAGGGCACCGAGGGTCATTTATGGATGGCAGCAGCACCTGGAATGCTTGCAACAACAACGAGCCACCAGTTGGATCAAGAGAGGGTGCAAAGGCTCTTTTGGTCGGACCTGAACACCGCTGGTCCATAAACGATTATGAAATGTTTGCATCACGGTTGCAACGGCACCTACAAAATGAACACTCTGGACCAAAACGGCTCTTTTCAACCGATGAGGGGGTGCTTCTGCTCAAGGCAGATAGGGTTGTTTCTAAGCCCAGCAAACAGGGATGATTTGGTGTAAAGAGCACCGAGCATTAACAAGGCACTGGAATGCGCCATATGGATATGTCATATTGTTATTGGGCAGGAAAGGTAGGCTTGCCCATTTGTCAACATCAAGCAATGAGGCAGACAAGGTACCTTCTATCACCAGGTTGGAGCCCACCCGTAGTAGTGTTCACGTCTTCAGGGGACACATTGCAAACGGATCCATTACCCGTCTCAGACTGGAGAAATAACTGAGGCATCCACATCCACAGTCCGTAATAACTGAAACAAAAAAACAGGAAAGTTAAACACCTTAAATGTGAATAATCAGACAAATTGGTGAGGTGGAAGGTCTGAGTGTTAGACTGGTTCCTGACTCTCCTTTTGAACTCTTGATAATGAAACAGTCTGGGATTGTATCTGCTTTGCTGTCACAGAACAGCAAAATTTCACCTTCTTTGGTCATGCACAAGCACACATCTGTGTAGCCAATTGTAAGTTGATGAACAGCAGCATGTGAACCAGTGTAATAGTTCACATGCCCTCATCCCTACGTTTACCAGCATAATCTTGAGCTCACACCCAGGGTCAATTAACCCCGCATCCTTACCCCACACCCTTACCCAAATGAAATGGTCCAGATGATCAGCAGCAGAGGTACCGTGGCCCAGGTCAGCGGCTTCTGAAAGAGCTTGGCAGTCATCCGGAAAGATATCTTGACATTCTCTCCTGATTCAATCAGCCGGTCCCGCCAGGAACCCCGGCCTTCGTGATCAGTTGGCAGAGTCCTGCTCCTCCCGGACGGCTTTAGGGTTTCCATCTGGTTGGGGGAGGGGGTGGAAAGATAAAACAGCTTATCACTGACTACATGCGGCTACCAACAATCCATCCATGAACCTTACCCCGACTCGAATGCTACACTACACCTTTCAAAAAGTGGCCAACTTGTGATATACAGCCAAATGCCTCAAACATTCCATGGGGTTATTTGAGCAGTGCTTATGCAACATTTCTTCCCACAGCCAATGACAGCCTCATATTTCACAGCACTCAGGTGCAACTATGGAGCAACAGTTTGCTACTAAGCCCCTCATATAGACTTCTTGGACTTTGTAGGTTGTGGGTAGGAGTACAAAACAAACAGGGGATCAGCGCATGTAAAAGTTAGCTGGAGGTGAGTCAGGGTACACATGGTGATCTTAAACGAGCAGGGTTATATTGGGCCCTCTCACAGCTGGGTGGGGGTGGATTCCTTCCCCCCCAAGAACTCAGCTGTGGCAAGCTCGATTTTTTTAAAACTCGGCAGACATGTAAAGACACTAATTTCCAATACAACTATGAAGTTAGAAGTCAATCACGTGAATAGTTTTGTTGTTAGGGTCATTTGAAGTTCAAGGCCAAATATGTGCCAGCTCGCATGCATTAAGCACCATAGGCAATGACAGTCAAAAACGCAGGGTTTTCGTTCACCTGCACTGCACAAGAATAGTGGGTTAAATTTTCAGAAAATTGGGGCCAAAATGACCGAAAAGAGTTATGAAAGGCTCAGTTCCGGAAAAAAATGCACTGCAGAGATATCAAAAAATATCGGCTCTTTTAGGGTTAAACCTATCTTTCAGGGTTAACCCATTAATCTTTGTATAGTGGTAGCCTGATCATGCTCCAGCACAAAGTAGGTAAAGTCATATTCAAATGAAATCCTAGTACATTACCATATCTTCAGCTTACATGTACTTACAGGATAGTTGGCTCTATCATCCCATTTGTTCCAGGAATAGACCGTCTTGAGAACTTCCAGGGCTTCATCAGCCCGACCATTCTGAAGGTTGATATAAAGAAAAAAAAAACAGAAAAATATAATTATAGAAAGCGATAATGCATACAAGAGACCTATTAAGTATACAAATTTAGAAAGCCAAGGAAACTATTAGCACATACAGGCTACCAGCCAAAATGCCATTCACTACATATTGTCTGTGACTGGTTCCCAGTCGCAGGTGCTGGGTAGTATTTTTTCATTTGGCAGCTCTGTGGAACTGGCCTTAGGTTTGCATGAGGCCAGGTCATGATTCCATGCTTCTGAGTATGCGTGGTTGCTATGCGCTGTGCGCTTTGAGCGGTCATCGTGTTAGACCACATCTTATGGCCACAGCTTCACTCCTTCATTGCCATGTTTGTTTCTGGACCCGCAAAAATCTCAACTATATACATGTAGTTGTATACAAGATAGTTGCGTATATGGCAATAAAACCGATGCATTTGGTCCCAATGGGTACTTCTCATTCTATTTCAGCCCCATGTCATTATGTGCATTGTGCACATATGCACCATAGGCGCGTGTGTGGACTTTTGTCAGACTTTTGTGCACACGTCAGACACAAACATCAAAGCTGTGACTGGTCACAACACTACGGGGATGGGCTCAATACATGTACATGTAGATCGGTCTAGTACTCTTTCCATATCAACTTCTACAAAGTGTCCAGTGCACTGAGTTGCCTGACCGAGTAGACATATCTGGCAACTCTGCAAACAATTCAAAAATCTCTAGGAGTCACAACTTTTTACCAATATCCCTGTACCTCAGTAGAAAATGTGCCTTTCTGTTAATAAAAGTTAAGGCAACATAACAAACCATGCAAACTGCTTCAGAGTAAAGGAAAAACAGTACAGTATCAAACATCAAACGAAAACTCCGCTGTCAACAAAGTTGAAGTTAATAAAGGCTTCTTTTCCCCGTCTGTTTTACCTCTAGCAAATATTTTGGACTCTCTGGCATCAGGAAGAATGTGAGGATAGAGGTGAGGGCTGGCAGGGTACACAGAGCCACAAAGATTCGCCAGCTGTTGTAGCTGAATCCATCAGGATTGCTGTAACCAATATCTGAAGAAGAGAAACCAAGAATCGTAGAGAGAAAAAAGAGATAAAGGAGTTGTTAGACCTCCTTCTGACATTCGATTCTCACCTAGACCGGTGTCACTTTTCAAAGTTATACTGAATGGAATTGAACTCAATGCTTATTGAAATAATAACTCAAAATATCCCTCTTGTGCTCTTTGGTTGTGCCTTCAGGGACAAAAAAATACCATCACAATAAGCCTTTTGCGAGTGAAATTTGAATAAAATCTGGTACACTGCGTTCTTTAAATTCACATGAACATAACAATTTGAATTCTCCATACTAAAGACACTGTTGCTATACCTTGTGATTTGGTGCAAGCGTTTGCTTGCACCAATACACTGTTTTCAGTGGAGAAGAAAAACACGAAGGAACCAGTCCATTCCAGAGAGAAGCTTGCCCTAAATTACAAGGAATGGCAATTGTGTCTTTAGTCAGTTTTGGGGAGTCAGGTAGACTTCTTCATTTGACAATGTGTAGATCATTCAACGTTTCACTTTCAACAACCTCGCCATCTGTCCTCCAATGCATGTAACTAAATGCAATATACCCCTCATTATACCTTTGGATTTAACAGCTTCCATAAATGTACGAATTTAAGCATCCACTCTGAAGTCAGCAGGTGCCATTATTGTACATGAAGCAATAGTTTTCAGTGTTTATCAATATATA